TTTTTTGCTATGTTTTATGTATTTTTTTCTAATCTCGGATTTTAAAAAAATGCTCACATGGATTCGACTTTCTGGCCTCCAATTTTCTTCCTGTTCAGTAACGTACGATGTGTATATTTATTATAGATAGATATTTTTGGTAAATAGATAATAAAAATCTGCCAACACAAAAGCAGTATTTCCTGGTGATATGTAAAAAAGGAAATAGCAAGTCCGGTCTTAACCCCCCATGTACATCAATTTGACAAATCTTGCTTTAGATTTATTCCAATTATTTGATAGCCAGACGTGTTCGTTACCATAAAACGCCACATCAAAAATTTCGTATCATTGCAGGGCTTATCAGCAGGACTCCAGTGCTAAAATCAATTACAAGACGCAGTTAGCCGCTAGTATTCACCGTAAAAGATATAATTTTTGTTCCATTTCTTTAAAAGGGTTTTGATTTACATACCAAAAACAGAAAACGTAACTTGATAGTGAGTAGCAAATTAGTCTGGCGTGTTTTCGGGATGAAGAATCGCCTTCCTTAAGAGATTGTGACGGAAAATCAATGACATTCGATACAGTGTGAAAAATAAATCATCTTTTCGTGCCAAAATTGTGAAAGTTGCCATAATTCTACAAATTGAGTTCCTTTGCTCACGCCTTTTCCTTACTGTGTATTATGAAGAACAACGCTTTGCAACTCAAGGAATGTGTATAGTGTAATGTAAAAATATGAATTGTCATGTAAAGCAATGTCCTGTGATATAATTCCGTACAAGTTGTTTTGATCAAATACCTGGTCCTTGCCTGTCTGTTTGTCTGTCTTTCTGAATGAAATATACATGTATGAAAATAATGAACTGTATTCAAGATCAAAAGGCCATGAAACAATTCAAAAAAAGGAGTAGAGCAAACACGGACCTCCAAAATATCAGAGGTGGGAACAGGTGCCATGGAGGAGTGAGCATCCAGGTCACACTCGCCTTGTGCTCCTTGTCATGATCTGGAAATAACGGGAAAAATCCGTCGACAATGTGTATATATAGGCCTAACAATTAGTTTCATAAATGATAAACGTCAGTCAGCATTTGATTTAATGAAAATTTACATTTACGGACAAGCTTTTTGTATTGACTATAGAACCTACGAAATGATGACTTTAAACGAGACTGATATTCTGGTTTCAGCAACTTGTTTGTCAATAACTTACTTCGTTTTAAGAATTTTACATAGTACGTAGAGCATGCTCTTGCGTATTGAATCAACTGTGATAGAAACCCCGATTGTAGGTTATGAAGGTATATTGCTGCATAAGTAAGGAAAATTGCATGCAAAGTCATCAAACGCATCATTTACATGTATACTATACATATTTTAAATATTTTACATATAATTAATGTATCATAATTTAAAAGTGGTATTGTTCATCTTTTATTTGAAATTTCTTTGGAAAAGTGAATTATTTATAAATGATATATGTACTGATATAAGCTGGAATGCTCCTGAGTACCCTTCATAGGTAAATAAACATACATTTGTACCTATGTGCGTGTTATTCCATTTCCTTGGTATTTTGAAATAATTTAATTTCACTTGTATCGAGCAATTTCATTGGCTGAATCATTCAGAGGAACATATAATATTTTGTATAACATAACTTGCCTACGTCACAATGAGTTATGTCAAAAACGTATTACTCCGCTTGACGTTACGTTTAAAATATGCTATATTTGAAGCCTTTTTTCCGGATGAAAGATTGTCTCATTGTCTACACTGAAATTAAATTATAAGGAATGAAGCTGATTTCAACTTATGTTATACGATATAACATAACTTGGGGCAGTTTATGCTTTTTTATAACATAAGTTGAAATCAGCTTCATTCCTTAAAGAAAGAAGTGTGTATTATTTATATAAGTGTATCACGGGGAGATTGTCGTCCAAAATTACGACACCCAACATCTTTTCGTGGTAACGCCATGATAAAAGGGTTTTCAAGATTTTCTTATAGGTTTTTAAGTTACCGTATGGAAACACTAATGTAACATCAAAGTGAACGCTGATGATAGCACTCAATCTTGATGTAGTAATGCAATCATTGTGAGCACAATAAAATGAGAAATATATACACTGTAATGTTGTGTCTTGTTTTACGACAATGTCCTTATTATTAACGATTCCGCCCATACGGAAGTACATAAAAATAATATATATTGAAAGAAATTTGTTTGCAATAAACCAAAGATACACTTTTTGTCTCTATTATAGAATATTTTGAAATATTTAGAAATTTTGATGTTACTGTTTGTATGAGCTTTTATCAAAGTCTGTTACAACCTTTAATCAATTTTTTTTCACTTATTAATAAATTTCAATTGCTATATAATAATGACTACGCCTCTAATCCTACTCACTCCATGGTAATTAGAAATTGTTAATTAGTGATATAAACTTGCATAAATATAATTTTTTTTACGAGAGAGAAAACCTATTAATCCCTAGAAGGCGTCTTGGTATAGACAACTGTCGTCAATTTGTCCACAACTCGTCTTGTTTTCTCACTTAAAGTCTGAATTAATAGAGATATTGATTATGAGTGATATATGCATATATACATAAGTACAGAGCGAGAAATACTTACTGAAAACTAATTAACAACAGACTCAGCGCATGATAAAATAAGTACCATGTGCCTACCTACAGTATCTGTTTTCGACATTTTGGTCACGTGACGTTATGAGAATTATGGCTGAACACGGGCCTATGATCATTTTGCTTGTCCTCAACAAAGGCGTAGTCTGCTCACTGAAAATCAATCATTCGTTTTCAGAATTTACATGAAAACATATTTTCTTTCTGTTAAAAAGTAATTAAGGAGTCAACTAGTCTATTAACAGAGGATAAAAGCTTTTGAACCTTTTGTTTTTTAATACTTCTAACTTTGTTATTGGTGCTTAGACACAGATTTGAAGTTAATATTTTCTCAATTTTTCTGTATAATATCACGACTTTTATATATTGCAATTTCGCTTTTCACACGAAAATATAATAACTATCTTTTTAATCTTGAAGTTATTGAAACTTCGAATTTCTGGACGGGTTTGATTGACACATCCTTGTACTTTCACAAATTATTATAATTTTATTCTTAATACTTGTGGCAACTTTGTTGTGTACCATAGTTAGGTGTGATTTGTTAAAAGTATGGGTTATCTGTATATAACCAACAATATTATACTACAGAGAAAAGAAGTATAAATTTATTGAAAGGATATATTTCTATTTATTTATATTATATTTTTGATTAAATCTTTATATATATATTTTACAATGATGATTAAAGTATTTCGTCAAATGTACACTAGTAGAATCATCGCTCCAAAGTATGATAAAGATTGTCCAACAAAAGGAAATTTGTGCAACAAATGGGACAAACAAAACCACAATGTCACCATGAACCCCCCCCCCCTTCAAAAAGGACGAAGACATGTGGTTTTAATAATAATTTTTAAAAACCTTACTACTAATACATGTACATGTACATGTACGTATGTCACATCTCAGGCAGGAGAAAGGGACAATTGTAAAAAAAATAAATTAGTAATTAGTAAAAAATTAATTAATTAAAAAAAATTAGTAACAAAAAAAGTAATTACGGTATATTTCCTTTTATTTCTATTTGTTTTATCTGTGATAACTCTTTGAAAGTTAGTGGAGTTGATTTCTTGATAATTCTACCGGAATGTAAATTAGGCAAATTGATAGGTCAGGAGCTAAGGAGGCCTAATATGCATGTAAATCTTGTGCGTCTGTCTTTGTTTTTGACGTCAGAAATATTGAAATTGACATGGGAGACCTCGTGTAATTAAAATCTATTAGTCTACATTTTTAAATCTAAATCTACAATTTTATTTCACAATGAATTGGAAATATAACGAAACACTATCTTGTTAGTATAGTATGTCAGGGACACAACGACAGTGGGAAACGTGGGATAATTTATGCATAATGGGCTTAATTCGTCCGTTATGCAAATTATCCAACGTTTCCCACTATCGTTGATGCCCTGGCATACTATACTAACTAGACAGTAATTCCTTAAATGTACTTTCCATATACAGTATACATTTCTTTTTCTTTCCCCACGAACAGGGGAAGGGGGTGTCCAGTAGCAATTAGGGAACAACTGGTTCACTCTTTATTATTACGGTATCTTTCAGATTATTTCACACATGAAAGAAGGAATTCTTGCATATTTCATACAGAAGAAACATATCTTCATTGATATAAACATGCTTCGCAGACTTAACCGAAGCAGGTGCAACCTGTGCAGATTTAATGGACGTCGATACAAAAAAGTATTTCTTTATCTTTGATCCATCATTATCTCTAATGAAATGTTTTATCGCATAATTCTAACTGCCTTTGAAGTGCTTTGTGTACAACATGGCGCTGATTCTGCAGGCGGACGAAAGAAAAGTTTATAAATGTTAGAACCAAGGCTGTTGATTGATATATAAATAATATATAGCAAGAAGTATTTGATACGTTATTTTTTAGACTTTGATGACTAAATATCAATAAAGCGACTGTAAAACTAAACGGATTTGGGTGGGAGTTTTTATGGCGCCAAATTTGTATTTCCTCAACCCTTTACAAAAAATCAAGTATGTACCATAATCAGGTTAGTTAGTGCTTTAAGAATTAAAAATATTTAATGTCCATGAAACGTATATATCATGAATATTGATTATTCGAGAGATTATAATCATACTCTTATAAATCAAAGACGTTGACAACGATTTGAAGTAATGTTTTACACCCGCACTTGAATATTGTCATGACAAAATTTCTAAAACACTCCAACATTTATTGGATTACAAAGGGACTGCTGCCTTTGATATTTACCAGCTCCCCGACACCCCCACCCCATCTGAAATATACACGTACGTGTATCTTGATTTCATTTATCGCTACATGTATGTTTCCTTTTAGTACAAAAAAAAAAGAAACTCACACTTGTAAATTTTATTTATTTCTTCGACATTGCGTCAGTTTCGATACAAAAATACATTAATCACTACATTGGGAACAAAACTAATTTTTTAAATAAAAACTGGCTTCTCAAGCCAGGAACAAAAGAAAAACTAAGAAAGAATTTCTATCGTTGACAAAAAGTCAAAACCCTCTAATCCACAAACACATAACTGATAAGCATTCAGTAAAATATATTGATAGAGAGAACAATGTCACAAACCTGTTATCGCATATATTACATATATTTTTTGGGATGAACTACATTGTACTTTTAATTCAGTATACTTATATTATCTACTAAACAAAAGCTATCTGTAGGTAATTCTCCTGACTTTTTAATACGCATTTACAAAATACTGAAAAACTTCTTGATATCAAAGAGCATACTATTGGAACACTCTTTAAGCTGACTATATCGGCAGTTTTTTTTATATAAGAACAAGCAAGCTATCACTCAAGGTATAAACTCAAATAAACAAGTTACAATCACCGAGAACAAATTGGGAACAAATTACATAGATTTCTCTAAAAACCATATTTTCCTCACAAACAAATCCAAGCACACTGACCCTCCCCTAACATGCTGGCACTAACTTACAATACTTAGTCTTAAAATCTCATATACCTATGTAATAATCTCTCTCTCTCTCTCTCACTCAACCAACAAATTATACATGTATACTTGTTCATTTTCAAATCACTATAGTATTACAGTATGATTGACAACCGACATATACTAGTTATTGCAATATGCAATTCGGAACACATTTCTTTGTAAGCTCCAATTAGGCAAAAAAAAGTCGAGGAGTTACAAATTAAACTGAAAATGAGATTTTTTTCCTTTTTCAAAATTCTTGATTTCAAACTAATAACCCATAAACATTTAATAATTACTTGCATACATTTTTTAAAAAAAGCATAATTTGTCTCTCTTTACTTTGATACTGTTTCTATAATGTCCAAAAAGCAATCACTCTCATGAAACAGGTTTTTACAAATGAATGAAGGCATTTATAAAGAATGACAAACGCTGAAAAGTGGATTTTGTCCGTAGTTTTTAATCGTTTTGTGTGATATTAGACAACTTAAAGATACCAAAGTAGTTTCTCCTGACATCACGAACCATAAGAGATAAATCCGAGACTTTAACGTACACTTCGTCGTCTCTTCGCAATTTAAATAACGCTCCAATGTGGCTGCTATATTCTCCGACAACTTTGCTATTAGACGCTTTGCTGGCGGCATTTTTAGCCAGAATTTCCTCGCCTCCGTTCGGGTAGATAATATTATAGCGACACAAATAATGAGAGATGGACGATGATTGGGTAGCGGGATTACTTCCGGAGTAAAGTTCCACGAACGACACCTGGCTGTAGACGTAGTAATAACCGTCAGAGGGCACTACTAGTCTTCCGTGACGATACTTCATGTTACTTAGGAATGCAATATCCTTGTCGTAAATCCAGTGTGGTACAGAAAACCGCGTGCCTGGACCTAAACAGAAAAAGAAATACATTAATTCAAAGTATACATGGAGGCCACCAGAGGGTGCAGAAATAGGACATTTTCCCGAATTTTCTTAATCCTGGTGGAATTTCGTCAAATTTGAGTTACTTTTCACTTTGTAAAACATAGAACACAAGCTTTCCTATCTGAGATTTTTACAAACAAGATGCATCTGATACTATAGTGTATATGAAATATATAAAATTGGTAGATAGGCAAGCTTGTGCTCTATGTTTTCATGTGTTCTAAAATTGATTAAAATTTGCATAAAAATGAGACAATTTGGAAATTGACATATTTTCTGACCATCCTGTGACCTCTGTGTATCCCATAACTTAGAGCCAATACATGTACTCATTTTGTGGCAGAGGTGCTGAGTGGTTTTTCAATTTTTTAACTGTTGCATCATTCAAAACGACACCCCAAACCAGGGACCAAAAAGGGGTCTTACCCAACCCTGTCCTTTGATAATTTTTACGTATACTTTCAGATAGGAGTATGTTGTCATTGTTGTGGTGTCATTAAATATAATATATATAATAATTCTTAGTTTATTTATACATACCAATGTCTTCGTCTAGTCTTTCTTGAGAGCCCAGCAGATGAGCTGCCGTTTGTTGTCCTTCAATTGAAACCAGTTCACCAGTACGTGGAACGTTACCTTTAGATGCAAAAAATAAGATTATTTAATAAACATGTATGTAACTCTTTTTTTTCTAAAGAAAATTAACATTATAAAATACATATATTAATTACGAATTTTACAAGTTAATTACAAACTTAAAAATTTCTTTAAAACTACAAAGCTGGAAAATTTAAAGATAAAAAGAAATTGGCTGGGTATCCAAAAATGCTGTATTTCATTTCATAACACTCCAAAAATGCATTAATTGAAGCTAAGCGTGTATTCTATGTATAAAAATAGCGGCAACTGTAATTAAATGTCAGAAGTTATAATTAAGTGTCAAAAGTAAGTAATTTCCTATCCATGTCAACGTTCTAGCGTTCATTTTCAAATTTTTACGACAATTTAAGACTTTAAAAGCATTATAAGTTGAACCCTAAAGATGTAAGTGCTCCGATGAAAAGATGTGACTGTTGATTTGAAATGTGTATTGTACGCTGTGCATTAGCTCCCCTCATTGATTTCATATCAGTCTTCATAGATCTAAACAACATAATAGCGGGCCCCGGCGCGTGCCTTAGGAATAAGGCATGAATGGTCCCTATATGGATGTGCAATAAACGTAATGATATTTTAATCGAAATTCTGAGTTTTTGCTGACAAGATTGCTATAATCTTTTATTAAAGTTAACACCCTGTGATTAACACTATCTTGGGACCTATTGTGAGCTGATTTCAATTTATCCAGTCAGGAAATCCATCGATATCTTCTGAAAAAAGATCTTTTGAAAGAGTATCACGAAAAAGTATTAATTAAAAAAATATTTCAGGCAAATAAAAAATTTGAAATTTCTCTTTCCTTTGTTTTTAGCCGATATACCGTTCCTGCTTATGCTCGTGTTCATGCAATAAATGTCAGCTTATGCTTTTAAAAGATCGAAAAAAAAACCATAGCTGTATTCAAACGAATCATATTTCGCATCGATTGCTTTTTATCACATCCAACATCAAATTTCTGTCCGGGGGCAAAAACTCATCATTTAACTTTGTGAAGCTTAATGTCATTAGTGTCCTCCTGTAACAAGCTCTTTGTTTACGAGAGATACTGACTCTGTTCTACCTAATCACGCCACCTAGTGTACGATACAGATGCATCGCAGATGTTATTTACTTTTTTTGAAAATCATAATATAAAACCCTCGAATGGATATGTTTTGGTAAACAATCTCTGGTGGTTTTCATAACTGTCAAACCGTTATTTTTTGACAAGGGTGCGAAATAAAGCTGACGCTACACGAGGTTTAGGTGCGAGGTTCTGCACTTCTTCCAATAAAAATCTGAATGTCATAAAGCGATCCTCTTTACGCAGTGCATGCCTAATTTACTCCGCACAGAAAGAAGTGCTTAAATGCCAACAGATTTTTTTCTTTCTCTTCAGCCGGCTGTTTTAAGTCATATGTCGGATAAAAAGAACAGACATATCAAATTTTTTATACGATTTATTACATTACTGCTACATTTCAGATTCGTAAACTTTATGTCTTCGGTAATTAATTTAGCAGTCATTATGTTGCATTTCTTACTTCCGCTGCACGAATTTCGTGACACAAATGTTTAGATCAGATAATCAATGCATCTGATACTCTCTTTTTTCCCTATATTTTGAAAGAAAAAAGTTACATAAGTTCGCATGATATTCTCTTAATGATGTTCTGGAGAAAATTGCAGTTCCGTGGCTATGTTAGTAAAACTAGAAATAAGCCACAGAAATACAATAATACAGTGCAAATGCTGTTGTTTTTCACTCTGTGAACTCAGAGTATATCCAATGTAATTGATACTCAATGAAACTTTATACATATATAGTATATTTAAATTTATATAGTCTTTGCCAATATATAACCATATGGGAGGCGGGGGTATCATTTAGTGATCTCATTGCTCACAGTATACCTCTAGTTTTATTTCATAGGCTATACATTTAGGCTTACACAAAGCACAGAAATAACGCATCGAAATATCATTAATTTAAACAAGGAATGGTAAACACAAAGAAGCAAAGAGTAATTTACATGACTAGAACACGTGTTGTTTTCAACAGAACGGAAAACTAGAAACACTCGTCGATAAAAACAATGACCCACTAGTTGCAAACGGAATAAGTCCATTGCAAAAGATGAAGATGCTTGCACTCTTAACGAATTCCGGGGCTGATAACTTGTATTAAATGTGCACCCTATACCCGCTTACTGCAGTTGGCGTCAAATGTTTTACTAAATTTTCTTATCCGATAAGTTATCTTTCTAGAAAACTGTGTACAAAAAATAAAATAAATAAATAAAACTGTGCTGCTGATTTTTTTTAGTTTAATTTTATTTCAGATCAATTTATAACCTAATCTACTCCTTATAAATATGACATTCATACCATACATCATAATCCGAGCATGTGTCTAGCCATTACATAACTTTGCATTTTTTCTATCTTTTTTACATGATATTTTTAGAAACTGCTGGTATTGACGAGAAAATAAACTTGCCCAAGGAACCGTCCGATTTACTTTTTTTGGCTTTACGTTTGTTGGTAACGACTCATTGGTCGTGTTCAGCTTAGATTTATTTTCTGTATGTGTTTGTAAAAGTACACTGTTAAGATAAACTTGTTTTCTTGAGAGTGATTCCGATAGAAAACAGACGGTCATTATACTGAAAGAGAAGCCTACTTCTGAGGTACACGTATACTAGTATGTCTTTTAGATTAAACATATCTATAAAAAAAAAAAACACGGTGTAGATTTTAAGGAGGTTGGGTGTACATGTATAATTATATGCTTTGGTGAACATAGTAAAACATACAAAAGGGCGAAGCCTCCAAGGTTATATTTCTGTTACTTTTATTTTTCATGTCTTGGAATTGCTTCTCAAGTCCATATTGACTCAAATACCATGCATGACAGTCATTATAGTCAACGAAATACATATGTATATAAAATAATTATGCTAGCTATTCAAAGGACATCTGACTGGTTCAACTCCAACATCAGTATAATATAACAGATTTTGTGCTCGGTTTATCAGATAGTCCGAAATTCATGCTGTCTTGTTGAAAATTAATTTTACATCAGAATTTAAATCAATTTATTATTTTGCACGACACTAATTTGAGTCGTAAGTAATAAAATTATTTTGAATGTTAACAAAATAGCAAAATGCTATAAATTCTCCACTCCTTAAATTGATATTATGCTGGTACTGTCATTTACGCTATAAAAAATATACAAGTGAACAAAACTATTTTCACCATGGAAAATGTCTATGGAGGTATAAATTTATCAACTGTTTCAATGCTGATATAAAATTCATGCAATCTTAAATTGTATGTGACTGACATGTATGCATGTGGGCATTTCTGGCAGAAATATGTTGACAAGGTGCTATAACCCTCATCATTTTGTCATTAATTCTTATACTTATCTCCATGCATTTCAAAATTAACCTTTTACTGATTACAATATTCTCTCGATTAAGCAACAATTTTCATTCCTTTTAGATTCTTTAGTTTTGTAGGATACGGATCTTTGTTTTTGTGTACATTGTAATATACTAGTACACACATAATTTTTTTTTCTTCGAGAGACTCAATGACGTCACTGTGTTTCGTTAGTGCACTCTGCATGGAACTGATTCAAAATATTATTTAATTCTCTACCAGTTAAAAATTTACAATTCTTTTTCAGAGTTGATTTAGTGTAAAGGATTATATATAACTTGTTTTTAAAAAAGAATTTTTAAGGGATAACTGTTCTTTGTCAAAGCACAAGACTTTAATAAGTTTTCTGATAAAGTAATTTAGTATTTACGCAATGATATGGACCAATCCTCTTTCATAAATATATAAATCAAAATATGAATCAAACTTTAACCAAAGAATATTTCTAAATCAGAGTTGCATAACATGCAAGCCTTTTTGAGCAATCTAAACAAACAATAATGAAGCATATTATGATCTTAATTCTGAATTTCTGACGCATACATGTGTATATTGATATTGAGATTATAAGCTTTATTTTTTAGGATTGTAAAAAGGAAAAGAAGAAAAGTCTATAGGGTACCCGATAAGTGCACTGATTTTAAATTTTAAATATTTTACCTACATGGACAATTCAACTTTTCAACTTAGTACAGTGTAAAAATTCACACTCATGGCTGTGAATCCATTGTGTTTGCTCGTAAAAGACACGTCCTGATATTGAATCAAGGCAACGCAGTCTTTATTGAATATTTATGCCCTCTCAAAAGATTTATTTATCGGTTTCAAATGGGTTTAGTTCAAAGGGAGTATTTTCAACCCTGTTTGTGTTTTAGGTATTGGTATAAATAAACTGTTTGCGATCTCTAACGGCTTCCGCGATTTTCAAAGGAGTGCAATCTATCTACTGTTACGGTTAGGAATCGAGAATTTAAAAATCCTCTCGTCACCAAACGGAATACGGTGTCTCGAAAAAATAATAAATAAATGTAATACCCTGTGTCAACTCTTAAAACCAATGATGTGTGGCCGACGTATTGATTCTCTTAAACTCAATGACTTCAAACTGATTTTTCCGAACCATAAGTAAATAAGTTTAACCATTTTAAAATGAGAGATATATATTTGCTTTTTGAATCTGAAGAAAAGTGGCCCTGGCGATCTTTCAAATATTTCGTACAATTGCAATCGGCAAGGAATGTTTGTTAATTCAGTAGATAAAAGCCTGACTTTGAATTATCCTAAATTGTGTTGCACATTTGAACCCTATGACATTCAGTTAAACGTTTTACAAAATACTTCAATAGATAGCGAAATTATTTTTAAATCGTATCTGCTTGCTCTAAGAATATGCTCTGGTTTCACTTTTTCATCGTGTTCTTTAATAAACTTTGCATTAATAAGTTAAGACCACTACGAAACAATGAAGACAGCACTGTAAATTTCATTTTTCTTACTCTTTATATGAAAATTTGACAGGTACAGATATACCCATCTTTTGATACTGCGTTTATTTTTCAGAATTTTTTATGGCACCTTCGCTAAACCACTAGGATTTCAATTCTATGCTTCACTTGTCCAAGGACAAGGACCACAAATTAAATATAAGAAGTGTCATCCTTTAGTTTACTAATGACCAAGACGTTCCTGATTCAAAATGCAGAGATGACATAAAAATTTACTTAAAAGATTTAAAGCCAGTCTCCTTGTTTGTTGAAGTAATTAAATTTCTTGTTTAATTGCTTGTTACCCTGGCAACATTAATAGCTGCGGAACTATTACCTTAATGCGTTCTTATCCAAAATGTTAAGTATAATTCAAAGATATCTTAAGATTCGGATCGAGAGATGCTTTCAATTGATTTCCATTTTTTCTAAAAACAAATGATAGTCATTAAAAATCATTAGGTCTTGTTTCTAACGAAACATCGCCATACAAGGGGAAAAACATGGGGGGGGAAATTTCAGAAACATTAAATCGATGGATGTCTTTGTAAATGAATCAAGGAAACTAGTTTTAAACAGCATTAATGGAAATCAATGGCGCGGTTTTTGGTTGCTTCCGTGAAAGATCTTAGTAAGCACCATTTGACGTTGTCAACAGCTTCTGAGATTCCAAAGAGCAGAAAGCTAAACGACGAAACCTTCTCAAAGAGGAGTCATAAATCCCGGATCCTTCATCTGACGTAAGGACATTTATAAAATACCCGGCTTAATTAAACACAATCTAATTTGGACTGCTTTTCCATCAAAGGACGCCGTTAAGCAAGTGGTTTGGGCAACAGTATGAAGCATCTAATTTTGTGTCGTATAAATATTGATTTGGAAGGAGCGTGACAGAGCTAAGCAATAACAAATAATCATAGCACTGAAAGCACTCGTCCGTTCTGGTGGCTATAACAGCCAGAAGTAATATAAAAGTCACTTATATAAAGAACTATCGACTTAATATCATTGGAAGTTCTAATAAAATCTTTTTTTTTCTGGAATATAGTCAAGTGAATATTTCAGCAAGATTACAAATTGACATGCTTACCTTTTGCCGATTCTTCTCTGTATCTTTTTTCAATGAACTACAAAAAATGAAACAAAATCTCTTAATTTATTTCACATATTGATATATTCCATGATTTACACCATGGAAATTGAATTTTTGTTCTGTGCACGTTTTTGCAATGCAAATGTCACTCTAATCAACGTAAATTCTTGGCACCAAAATCTCGCAGAAAGCAAGTTTTCGAGTCGAACAATTTGACTATGGTCATGGGAATGAACAAAAAAAAATTATTTTTCTAACTAGGGCACCAAATGCATGTTGCCATCAAAATAAAGTGTAAATCAACATACACTGCATATATAAAATTATATAATGTGTGATTTTGAAAAAAAACAACTTTTAAAATGTATATTAATCTCAGAAGATCTATGCTTAGAATCACTCTCAATTTAACATTTCTTCTTCATGGACAAAATCAGACATAATGTAAGTATATAAATGACGTCTTGCTCTGGTAATTAACGGAAGTCGTCCGTCGAACGTCAGCTTTTACGACAATCATTTACGGCGATTCATTAAACGCCATGTCGACGCAGATTTCCAGAGTCGTTTGAAGATAAGTCAAAAATCAATACAATGCTTTTATGTTATACTCAAGGGGTTTAGGAAGAAAATGTAAGTCTATTTATCAGAATCGATAAAACAGTCATGCCAAAATCTCTGCAATGCATGTTATATCGGGTTCCCCAAAGGTGTTGGAAATAACTACTAGTATTACGTGTAGAGGCACACAAATATTAATGCCCCTTCCCCCTTAAACTTACTTTTTCTACATTTACTTCTTTAATAATAACTTGATTTCCGTATCATAACAGTATTGTACAATATAATTTAGTTTGTTTCTTTGTATATTGTTTAACGTCCCTCTCGAGAATTTTTCACTGGTATAGAGACGCCACCACTTGCCGGTGGAGAGCTGCAAATTTTGACCTATAATCGACACTAAGGGCCATTGAGCAGTGAGGGATCTTTTTCGTGCCAGCGCCTATAATGCGACAGGGGACCTCGGTTTATACGGTCGCATCCGAAAGACCGGTCTCCACGTCCTACTGTAGAACTCGCGACGTAGGGATCAACTCCTTATTCAGCGCTACTCCAGAGCACATGCATGCTCTAACCACTGCGCCACGCGGGCGACACAATAGAATTTAGTCATTTTGTATATATATACAGTACTAGTATTCAAAACACATTCCATCTTCTTATTTCAAAGGACATATCCCTAGACATCGTTTATATTTGTAAACAAGTTTGGAGACTTAATTAAATAACTTTTTTTTTTACAAGCGCCATTCTATTGATATTTTAATTAATTATCGTGAGGAGACAAATTTTCTTCAAATTAATTACGGCAATAAACAGAATCCACGGAAATGTCTACGAATTGGGGTTAATTTGGGTTCCCTCTGAAATCACAAAGCTAAATTCATCCCTCCTATTGTTATGACGCGGAAGAACGGGGTGTTTGGTGTATAATTAGGACGAGGTAGATGTCAAATATTTACATGTGCATAAACCGAAAGAAATAGATGCCACAAGAATGAAAACCATATGACGAGTGCTTAGAGGAAGGAGAGAATGGCTTGTATTGGTGCCCCTTCCTTCAAGTGTTATGCAAGACCTGTCAGATTAAATAGAAAGAAAAACAATTGATGTAGAGAAGTCACTTGTTGCTCTTTAGCGCACTCTGCGGAATGAAAAAACTCTTTCCCCCTAAAGGTGGTTCTTAATTTGAGAAGCAGATCAATAAGTATTTTTATCATCACTAAAACATACACGTACATTCCTTCTATTACAGTATAGAAATGAAAAAAAATCTAATGTTACCCAAGTCCAAAATAATTACAGTAAAAACCATTATATCAATAAAAGTATTATTTCTCTTCTTGCAATTTTCATCAATCTAAAGTACATTCATAAATACTCTCTAAAAAATTCCTCCTCTTTTCCCCAGGGGAATATATGGCGATTATAACCATTGAGTTTTAGAGATGTCATTAATATTGTTTACGGGATACGTTCTAATTTAATTTCGGAACTTTTATTTCTAATCCTTCAAACTGAGCAACATACTTAACCAAAACTGCCAGAAAAATTCCATTAGGACAGCTCATTTTAATGTGAAAGCAAAGACAAAATCTCTGGAAATTGAATTGCTGGGTCATAATCCAAAAACATCCGACTATTCAATTTTCCTGCCGAGATTTTGACGTCTGCGTTTGGGGGCACGGGGGGAATGAATGTCACGTGGAATTAGCTACAATATGTATTTCATTTTGAACAGCAGTCCCAGAGTTTGGGGGTAGATATGGAAAATATATAAAAGCCAAATGAACCATTCGTAGAAACATCATTTTCTACTTCCAGGGGCAGATTTGGTTTGATACTGAGCATACGGCTGTTAAATATATACGGAAATTTAAACAATTTTGACATAGCAATGGGCTTAAAGATAAACACGCTCTTATCCCTAACGAGAATTGGAGCTTTCCAGGTGGTTAGTTTTGATTTTTAAGTTTCTCCCTGAATCTCGAAAGTTTGCGAAATCGAAAACCCTGTAACGAGAAAACGAAATCAAGACAAAGCAATTGGGTCTATATGCAAAACATAGGGGCACTATAAAATAGAGACAATTTTCTTTATTTACATCTAGATCATTACAAATATGGATGCAGAAACAACAGTCTAGCTTGGAAATCTGGTACCTAATGTTGTTTTGGGACCGAAGAGATAAATAATGGGTATTCTCTCGCGTCTTTTATCGGAACAAACAGATGCGTTGTGTTATCTTGCAATTTGTAGGAAATGGCTCGCTCTAGCTTTTTTGTGTCCATTGATTTCGATACATGACAACAAAATGCAAATAAAAGTGATAGAGTAATGGAAGTTGTTTTTTCATATATAATAAAAGCTTCAATGGAGATGAAATCCCTCTTGTAAGTGATTTTAAAAAAATATAACCGAAATTTTTCCTTTTTTATTTTATTTCCTGACTATATAAGAAAGACATTACACTATACTTCAACTGACATTTCATAATCTTTATATGGAACTGACAACGAGTTAATCCCTCTAATCCTTTAATCTGACCTATCTTATGATACATGTAATATTTCGTCTTTAGGTATACGTAAGGATAACAATTTTGTCGTTTATCCACTGACGGATAATAAAATGGACGAGATTAATTATTGCATTGGATTACCATATCTTTTATTATTTAAAGCTATTAGTCATATTCCACATTTTTTGTCTATATGTGATCACAGTTTGAAAAAGAAGATTAAAGAAATTGGTAATACTTCGATTCTCGAACTCATCCCAATAAAGGTCTTTAACACGGGTAATATTAAACAATATGGTAACGTTAAGCAAAAATTAAGCCGTTATTACGTATACCTAGAAATATGACACGTATATCATGGTTTCGGATTTCTTAGCCACCATGGAGTGTTAATTCACAGCAGTAGCCCACGCTCTATCCGATATTACCGACGAGTATTTGACAATCAGAAGGCAGGAGGGAGGGGGGGAGGGGTGAGACAGAGAAAAAATATTATATTGGATTAAGTGAGGGGAAAAAAACCTTCTCAATTGCGGATTAAACTAAACTACCTATCTTTTGATGGTATTTGTTATGGATAAGTTCTTATCTTTAAAAGATGTATTATTTCATCTTAAAAATTCATCGAGTGCATCATTGAAGTTCAGTTTTCTGGACCGAATTTCCTTCTTCGCACCTTTCTAATCTGCAACATATTTGCAAGATATGCAAAACAACACGTGTTAATCACGAATCTGTAATCGACGCTGTCTGAATCCAGGAAATGTTTATTATTTATAGATTTCTGCAACATATGTTATAAACTACAACATATTTATTATTATCTTCAGAATCATGGATAAAAAGATTTATCAATTTACCGAAATACCGAAAATGTTGATTTTTTTTTAACTAAACAGAACGGTTTCATGAAAACCCAGCAGGAAATTAAGATATTTCAACAAAGGTTTTAAATGAAGTACAGTTCATAAACACGAATATTATTGGGACAAATTCCCGTTGTCAAGACAATAAAGTTGTTTAAATGAGAATCCTTTCTCGAAATAGGAGACGTCTTGCTATATCTTTGTATTGATTCCCAGACAATGAGATTTGACAGGAAATAACAAGACCATGGGTCAAGGGTCGGATCAACAGATTTTTCTATTTTTCTACCATTAATGGATACCAGAATTAGTAATGAGAACGGAAAACAACTGCTTGATCTACACATCCAAGTTTATTGACACATTTCATATATAGAACGTTTCTCGTGACTGACTCAAGTTAAAGTGTGATAGGGGACAAGGGAATTCTATTTCCAAGAATAATACCTATATGCATTTCATACACTCTTTATCTTTAAAGGTACACGCAAGCTCATATTTCAACTTTTTAATTTAAAAAAAAATGCTACCTGGATGAACAGATTAAAGATGAAATGTTTCGATTAGGAAAAAAAACCTGTGCCATATTGCATCTGTTAGACAAGATCGTAACAGTTTATTATAGATTTATCAGATGCAGTGTTAGATTTACAATCACTGCCTTCTACCATGCCATTAAAGCATGTTCGATCCCTCCCATTGTCCGCAGCTCTCCGTGAATAGGGTGCGATTGATTACAACGGCGACCCGATCAATCCCTAACGAACTAGCCTGTCAACACCCGCGAAAATAATGAAGTCTCTCCATATTGACGAAAAGCTTGCCATTCGCTCACTGTCAGTGTTTGTTTATACTTAATGAGAAGGGTTTTTTCATAAATCACACGTGATTAAGTCTAATGTTCAATTTCATTATCCAAATAGCTCCATAATCCTTCCATTAGGTAGAATTCATCACCTAGTCTTTCTTCTTCATTACGGATAAAATACGATTCGTAGAAAATATATGACCTATAGATTTGTTTTACTCTCTGTTAATTCGATTGTTTTCTTTATTTTGACTTTGAACCCATTAGCGAAAAGAAAACAAAAAGCGTGTTTAAAAACTTAACGATTAAAGTGCGATCAACGACCCAACCCCGAGGGACTCGGAATGTAATTCAGAAACTGGGCGTCGACGGAAAGGTGAATGTTCCGGAAATATGTATTTCATACTCAATTATACCTCATATCTCAATAAGCTGGAAAATAATCTCATCATTCATACACTGTCTGTTCTAGACTCGGAAACAAATTACAGCAACTCATATCTCTGCTGGAGAGAGATTTTTTTTCGTTATGCTCTTTGTTCAAAGTTTTCAGTTCGAAATCGTATCATTATCTTTGCAATAACTATTCGTCATATGAAACCTGTGCAATATAATTATCTACACCGAATATAGATTGAAATCATACAAACTTTATTGCTTTATTTAAGTTTTGTATATATACCTGTAAAAAAATCAATAGAGAGTCGTATCCCATGAAATGGGAGAAAAAACAAGCCGTATACGTTGAAAAAAATTTTGCCTACAGCTGTCAATAATATTATTGTCATTTAAAAACAATTTTGGTCTAAAGAATACAGGATTGGAGTGGTCAGGCTTTTATTGCATTTAAAAACATACTTAAATCATACTTAATGTCTAAAACAATAATTTTATCATTTTTGACACTATCGCTTGTGAAATAGTTTGCAAAACTTCTAATTTTAGTTTTCATCGTTCATGATTTGTTTACGTTTAAGAAAATTACATGAAATATATCAGCAAGGTTTGTTTATGCTCATGTCAAATAAACACTTTTTCCTGTCTTAGTTTTTAAATTCATGATTAGGAAATTTATAACAGAATGACTTATTGTTTTAGAATGTACATCTGGGGTGTCAGAAACTTGATTTAGAATTACAAAAAAGAATCTACAAAGCAATTTAATCCACTCGAGGCTATGTTAAAGATTTCACAAGACGTCTGGATATTAAAAACTGAAGTGGAATTTAAGTATATACACTAAGCATTTCTCTCTCAAGTTTTTGCCTTTGTTAAGTACCTTCAAAACAAAATGATACGTATTTGTGACTTTCTATATGTATTATGGAGAGAGAGAGAGAGAGAGAGAGAGAGTCAAATACGTACCAATTCCAACATAAGCAGAAGTTCTGACGGAGTTTCCACACAGCACATTTCAATGTTTTCTTCATACTTTCTGGCAAATTCGTCTAAGACTTTGTTTTCTTCGACACTTGGACCCGACCTAATGCTAGCACATGGAACACATAGTTCATTCTCTTTCTGCATCGCCGAGATCTGTTCCCCTACTTTTGGTTTATGTTCATGATTGACCAAGTCATGACTTAATTTCCCAAATAAAACAGCTACCACTACAATTAGTATCAAAATTCCAGTCACTACAACCGCCGTTAATCCATATAGATATCGTCTGATTCTGATGTATTCACTCTGTAATAATTCCAACTTGAAGTTTGGACAGTCCATCTTTGACTTTCCGTTACTGTAAAAGTCATTTGGTTTCACTCCGTTCCTTAGTAACACATCGTAACTTTCTGGTTCCTGATCGTCCGACATATTTTTGATATCCTCTGACATTTTTTTTTTCTCAGCGCGGTTCTATACGCCCGGTCTCTATTAGCGAAACCAGCGTTTGAATCAATTACATGTGTTTGTTGGATAGCGAAGAAAACCGATTTCCACGGAAGTAAATAATGGGGCGACCAATTCTACTGCACGGTAAATACAGACTTCACGCTCCCGATAGGTCTGACATAAATCTCTCGTTGCGTGATTTAAAACTTTAAAAATGTATAGATGTGTACACAGTCAATATATGTACGCGCACACTCGTGATAAGGATGGCTCATTGAGTCCCCGTGTAATTGTGTATGCCGTTATTAAAAGCAATACACACGTGGTTGTCTGTTTATCCAATAGATTTTCTCTGTCAAATTATACTCAATCCCATACGCATGTAGCCTCTGAGAGAAATGGGGTACTAAATAAAAACAATGCGTTTTTCATCAGATTTAAATATACGTCGATATTGTTGAAAGATTAATTCTTATTCAATCGATTTATATATATGAAAAAAATCTCGGGCGTAAAATCTATTGCCTATTTGATTACACATATCTAAAAAGAAGGCGGTAACAATAAGATTTTTTATACATGAATAAACCTCGTATGTCTATTTCAAAAGAAAGAAAATGCAACCTTCAGGTTTTCTTTTCTTTACCTATATATCTTATCAATAACCACATTTGCTTTAAAAATTTAACAAAAGGGTTTCCAGTTCCGTAGAAAAGCTGATTAGGAGCTTTAGAACTGTGATCTAATTTCTTAAGACTTTTAAGTGCCCCCAAATGGATTTGACTTGATCGGGACACACAATATATATATATAGACTTCAGTAAATATTTCAACCGAGGGGGGTGTGTTGACACAAGGACTAAATTTTATTTTTATTTTAGTTGAATAATGTGGACTGAATTTCTTAAAATAATACTTATCTGCGATCTCAGATGTTTTCACTACCGGGTCATTTCAAAAACAAATTTAACCTTAGGATTATAAAATTTACATATTTAAACAATCTCACATCCGCTCGATTATCCCGAAAACCGCATTTGCCAATAGAAGAATTTAAAAATACGATATATTTTTTTTAAAACCATAATTATTAATTATTAAAATATACATGTTTAAAAATGTAATTTGTCTATTTATATACTTAATTATAAGATCACCCAGTTCAGGCCTATTTAAATATATAATACATTTTCCATTTTCCATTTTTTTCTAAAATCTCGACGACCAAATTACGTCTCTGAATGACTCAAACATGGAGTCCCGAAACTTCATTAATCTAAGTTTCCCCCAGTGTGACATAAAAGCTAATTCCAATATCTTTTTCTCAATTTCTTGATGTGTTTTGTGCTTATATGCAATATAATTCGTAAAGATAAGGATCGTATAAATCTATCAGACGGTTTTCTTATGGGAAATGTTTAAATGACTACGATGAATTCTTGCTACCATATTTTTTAAATGAGTATCCGTTTTAAATATCGAGGGGTTTTGAATACAACAAAGAAAATCGTCGAAATAGTTGGCCGATTAATTTGCACATAAATCCTCAATATGTCACAGGTATATCTCTTTTTACCTATACACTGTACACGTATCAATTATGCAGAACAAGCACTTGTTACAGCCTGTTCTACTGCATAAAACACAGACTGTAGACCGAGTTTTAAATTAAAAAAAAGAAATAAAGGAAATATGAAACTTATGACAGATGTAATGTGTGTATATTGCTTGTTTTTTAAATGCTGACATGGAAGCAAAGAATGACAAAATCGATAAAAAAAAGTCATCATGAGTAAATAAATGTTCTTTATTCCAACGCGTTTTAACCTGTTCCAAACAGCTGTGTGTAAGAATTTAGAGTGAAATAAAATATTCTGAGTAAAAACATTTGATAGTCTTAATTGAACAGTCCTTACATGTAAAAATATCGTCGAAGTCTGTGAAACTGTTTAAAACACAGGCCAGTAGGAAGCATTTATCATTTGTGATGCGGGGAAGCACGGCCAAAAATTTTCTCTTGGGGACTATATTAATTAACTACCAAATTCCTTTAAAAAGGTAATCGAACGTGTTATTATTGAGGGGACACAGGCATATGGTAGCTAAGTTTTGCTTTTGTAATCTATATATCGGCAAAATTATTCGGGGAAACCCCCCCCCCCGCCCCGGTTCCTACAGCCATGAAACAAACAAAGACGAAACATGCAGAAATATGAGATAGACAGTGAAGATGACATCTATAAGAGAAGGCTTACATTTACGTTGAATATTTACATGAATTTAGGTTTAATTACCTCACATCCATTCATATGAACGGCAATTTTTAGAGTTAAAAAAAACACCCAGACATACCCATGTGAGATTACAATATATGTAAATAATACGTACATGTAGATCATAGATCACTGTCCAGAAAGTATGAAAGGACCCCCCCCCCCCGCCCTTGCACACACATCTCTCTTTCTGTGTGAAATGTAAACAAACGTTTACATGTAATTATCAAGTTAAAAACGGTCTTAAACATCTAATAAAAGCTAATATTTCTAAATGTTTATTTTTTCCCTCGTTACCAATTTCTTTTTTACTGAGAAAGAGACAAAAAATTTAATAAAAACGAAACTTATATTTATCCTTTTTTTTATTTTAAATAATTTTTTACGTCGAATTCAATTTTCAAATAAAGCTTGAGAAAACTCTTTATGAGGATACTCTTTTCAAAAGTCTCCCGGAATGATGAAGATTTCCTGATTTTCACAAAAATCTCTAAATCGGTGTAATCGGGTTCATACACATTATATTCGAATACTTTAATTTCTATCGTAAAATATTTCCTTTTTTTTCTCTTTGATGTTTTTGAAGGGACACATACAGACCAACATTCTCCTTACAAACCAAAGATTAATATTGAATAAAGAATTTAAAAAAAAAAAAAAAAAAGGAGGGAAAATGTTATTTCATTGATCAAAAATTACCCAAATGAATTACCGGGTAATTAAAACGTAGTTATTGTACAAGACTATCAATTATACATGTTACTTTTTAGAACGACCTATGTACTTAACACTCCCATGCTTGATCATACATGTACGTTATTATGAAAAATTAGCTTTTTAAGGGCTCTATTGAAAAATAAAATTCACTTTGAAAATAGGGTGATGAAAATTTTGACATACAGATTCAAATACCCAAAGTGGAAATTTAAAAATAAAGAAAGAATTTATAAGGTGGCAGTTATTTAAGCTGGTTACCAAAATGAATATTTCTGATTTTAGCCCAAACATAACATGTACTACGTTACCGGTTCAATTTGATGCTAGTATTAAATCTCTATAATTATCAAGGAAATTTAATTTAGTATATTTATAATATTTTAATATCCATAAATTTATTTATATCGATGTAAATATATTTTTAACTCCATCATTCTAAAATTATATACATTGAGAAAAGTGGTTAAGTCTCGAACACGGAAAAGATGGGTATTGCACGTATACATGTACATTCACTTTTAAAAAAACCATCGTCATTTTTTTTCTTGATCACATATCGTACATTATATACAAAACATGATCTATTATTAACATTGATAAAAGATTAACCCAACCCCCCCGTCTCTTCTTATTTTTTAAAAGTAATAAAATGCTTGAAAATATGGATTACGTATATTACGTATATTATTATTTCAAATTAAAAATAAACACCTAAACATCTACCAATCTTTGATGCAAAACTTAGATGAATTTTGTATAATAATAAAATTTTATTGAAAACTGTGAATGATATATGCACGTTTTACATGTAACTTGCAAATGACTACATGTACCAGACCGTATAAACACATTCTAACTACCGAAAAATCACCAAGACTTGAACAATAAATTAGATCTATTATGCTAAAACTATAACAGAAAACTGACATCCCTTTCGAATCGACGAAGTAACGACCTCCGATCGAACCAACCAAGTTTATATAATTAGCTCATTAGTACAAACTAGTCATATGAAGAGATACGAAAATTTGTTTTATTAGAACTTAAAACGTGACGATGACGAACGATGATCGATCTCAAAAATGTGAAAAGAGCATAAAACACGGACCACCTTAAATTTCGAGAGGTGGGATCAGGTGTGTGGGAGGAGTAAGCATCCCTATTTATGTATCAGGTAACTTTTCCGTAGTCAAATTGAAAATAAAGGCTTAGACCTAATATTTTCAAACAATTTCATATGAAGAATGTTATAACATTCAAATGTATATAATTGCATTATCATTGCGTAATCAACCTTATTGAAAGGAATAGTATTACCACATCGAAATTCTGATTAAAATTTGGCATTGCCTATTTATATTTGTTCATCAGATTTACTAGCCTAAGGTTAAATAAGAAGAAAAAAACATTAACTATTACAAATACCCAGAAAATTTTCAGAACGGACTAACAATTATCAGATTTGTGAACAGAATTTTCTGTTATGTACGGATTTAAGGAAAAAATAAATTTCTCTTATCATGACAGAAGTCTTTTCAGAGAAATCTTTTTCCTGCTTTTAATCGTTGTAATTTTGTGCCTGTAATTTTCCAGATTTTTAAAAGCCGTAATTTGCTGGTTGAAAACAACTTCCGTAGCCATAATGTAGGGAGACATGCATGGCGACTGAATTTCAGATTTTTTCTCTGTCACCGAATGAACAATATTTGCTTCCACAAATATGACCGATGAAGCAACCATTAGCTTATCAGAACGTCAAAGCACGCTCGTAAAATAATTGCTAAATCAATATCTCTAAACCGGAAACACATTTTCGTAATATTTTCAACAATTCTTAATCACCTGTGCGCTTGATTCTGAGCATCTTTGTATGTTGTTCCTGTGTATCGATTTCTGGTAAATTTTGTTCGCTGGTTTTATTCATGAAAAGCAAATAAAGACTAATGGCACAAGACAGGCAATTAACAGCTTTATTAAGCACTATGTTTGCCGACTTTATGCATACTAATGCTGTATGGTTATGACTGATCCCCAATAGACCTCAATCAGCTAATGATGCTGTTTTGTGAACAATCACTCCGAGGTTTTTATTTTTTTTTGCTTTGTAATGAGCAAGATATAAGTAGAAATCAACGAAATTCAAATATATTTCTGTATCTGATAAATTATTATCAAAATTCGTAACAGAATTATGAATTTTATAGTTTAATTGCTGCACTACAACGAAAAAGATCACAATGCACAATTGCAAAAAATCTAACTTTTAATTTAAAAATTTTAATTGTGTCCTTCAAAAGGTTTTTTTTTCTGTAAAATTTCTTCCACTTTCAAAACCAATATAAAATAATTTTGCCACATTTTGTAACGTTGGCAAATATGATTTTTATACTGTAGTTTAATTGCTGCACTATAACGAAAAAAATCAATTGATCACAATGCACAAGAAATCGGAATTATGCCTCCTTCGAAACACGATTGTATTGTTGGATAAATATTGAAATAGTGATTACAATATTACAAATTTTACCACATTTTTATTTGGTAACGTTTACATTTTCTTGCTATCAAGCATTATCAAAATTGATAATACGAAAATCTTGAAGGTAAATACAAAATTTAATTACATGTAGTTTAGATTGACAAACTCAAATGAACATGTCCTTGGTATATGACATTTCCATGACCCGAGATAAAGAAGTGCAACTGTAGACCGAATTCTATATACATGGACATGCATTATATAATTACGCAAACTAAACAAAGTATAAATATACAAAGTAAATTTAAACAAAAAGATATTGCATATAAATAATTTAAGAATTAAAAAAAAAAATTAAACAGTTTTAAAGCTGGTATTGAAAAGGTATGTCGATTCTCTCCATTTTCTCGACGTAAACTGTGTCGAAATATTCCGACTGTTCGACAGTGAAATGAGATTTCCAATCTCCAACCATCCCTGTAACGATAATGAACAGAAATACAATGTAGGTAATTATACATAACACCCTCCAAAAATATATAATAGATAAAGAAACTAAGTTTTTAAAAAAAAATGCTGGGATGGATCCAAGTTTTGCAACCCCAACATACCAGTATCGGTAAAAACACCCCCTTTCCTCCAAATTAAGAAGTATTGAAAGAGAAATTTAAGATTTCCAATTTTCCATTATATCTATAATGAAAAGGATAAAAAAATAGAACAGAAAATTCAATAGTAATTCTCAGCAAGTACTAAAACAGATATGTCCTTTATTTAACCTTTGTATATTGATACCCTAGTACGCCCACTTTTTCACAGCATGAAATATACAAGAATTACAAGAAAAAGTATATATTTCATATAATTGGTCAATGAAATCACCAAACCTATGCATAAGTATGATATAACACGTTGAGTTTCATATCAGAAAGTACAAAACAGCGTACTTTTACAATGGATGTACGAGGGTTGTCCGTAAAGTTCATAAAGTACAGATGTGTGATTTTGTTTCTTTTTCAAATATCATATAATAACTATGAAACTTTAACGAGATGAAAAAAATCGTTTGTTCTCCAACAGGCCAACAATTAAGCAACAAAAAGCTTTTTGACTATACTATATAAAGTTAATCACTTATTAGCCTAAAGAGGCGTGCAGGTTTTCTATTCGAATCGGCTCAATTAACCTCCACACCCTTGTAAAGGAATTAAGTTAATGACAATGATTCACGTGATGTTATCTTCATCTATCACTTAAAAAAAGCATCAAAGATTTTAGTTGATCTTTAAACTTTAAGTTTTTTTCTAAAGAAAGAAGTAAATACAACCTTTTCGCAGTAAAGGTGAAATCTCTTTATTAATGGAATATACGTCGTGGTGATTTGTCATAGGGTTGGTGCGCATGCTCTCAAAGCAGCAGTGGTTGGCTATTTTATCCACTATTTCGTCTGGTATGTCGTTCTTATCGAGAAAGGAGCTTATCTTCTTAATTTCATTTTTAAGATCCTTTAAGAAAAGAAAATATAGATCTCAAACGGAGACAGTGGCATATCAAAACATGCATAAACTATGCATTACTACTATAACAAGTAAATGACAAACATGTATAAGCATGTACGTGTAAATAATTTACTCAAGGTGCACCTATACATGAGAAATTCAATTCACATGTACATGTATCTGAGTTTTAATCAATTCTATTTTTTTTAAAGAAGAATGTCCGATAACTCTAACCTTTTTCATGTCCTCATAAAACAAAATACGAACATCAGAGTTATCCCTCTTTTCCCACCATCCTTTTGTGAAATCAAACCAAGAACCATGATCAACTGTGGAAAAAATAAATGCTTAGATAAAGAAGTCTTCCGGACGGAACAATTACGTAAAAAATACTAGAAGCTTTAGCCGGAATTTTTTAAACAAACGGATACCATTTTAAAATTAAAACTTTTAAATTCATCTGATGAAAATTCTATATTTTTTTTTTCGCATTTGGGGATTTTCTGAGGCTATATAAATATAAGGGAGAACTCTTGGGTGCTCGTAATATAAATAATACTCACATTATGAATGCATATACAAAATAAATATTCAGTATAAATTTGTCGTATGCATATATTAATTTTCCAACAAAATTTTGTAAATTCAGTTTTATTCTTGTGAAAAGAAAAGGAAAATAACTATTTTTTTTTTTATTCATTAATTTTTTTTGGATTATACCATGTCCATCTAGAAACATTTCCAGAAACTCTGGCCAACTTCCTTGGAAGTTTCCAAAAGACGAGCTGGAACGATAAAAGTGGAAATAGGAGACGCACAGATCCTTCGGATTCCGGAACAGGACTAACTTCTGTTGAAACAATATAAAGAAAGGTAAACATGGAGAAAAGAAACACATTTGTAGATTGTAGAATTTTGAAACGTTTCTTTTATATATGATAATTTAAAATGAATAAGTTCATTTATTATTGTATGGCAGTGAATTTCTAAACTTCGGAGGAATTAACATTTTTCCTGAAAAAATTCATCCTCGAAATGCCAGGGGTCCTTAGTTAACAAATTGCCGTTGTTCCCTGAATATGTACAGTTTCGAATATAAAATAAAATAAAATCATAAGAATATATGCATTTATTTTTTTTTTAATCTAAAAATGAACAAAAATCTGAAAAGAGAGGAATCTTTAAAGATTTATCCAAGAACACTTTTAAATATGCAAATACAATCTAATTAAGTCCATGATACTTTGTTGGGAAAATTTTGAAAATTTCAAGTTTTTTCTGCAAGATTTTGGTATCAAATGATATTAAATTCAAGCAATATGAGAAAAATTATACTTGTCAAGTACATGTAATTCTTGTCTTTTAAAATTCAAAACTCCAAACTCTGTTTGAAATTATTACCGGTATATGGAGCTTTCTAAAAATATGAAAATAGATAAATAAAAAAGATAAATTAATTAATAAGACTAAATAAAAAAAATCAGATAAATATTATAAATAATACATGAATAAATAAATGAATAAATAAATAAATCAAATAATTTATTAACTTTACTTTGCATTTGGTTTTGAAGATCCCAGTGGGGGCCAGATCCACTGGGAGATGAGTTTTTATGACCCGTGGGGAGGGCATGGGTTTCGCCAGTTCTAGTCCTACTTCGTTTAGCACCAGGTCTTTAAATTCCAGAAAAGGCGACCGAAAGTATACTTGCTCCCCTTTTGCCTTTTGGGTGTCTCCATCGTTCACAATCAGCCATACGATTTCTTGAAGCCAAGTTGTTCCTTAAAAAAAATTCCAGATATAATTTAATTAATCTATCAGCTAGAAGTTCTTCATTATACTTCATTAAACAAGCTTGAATACAGTTAGTTTAAAACATCACTTTCAAAGTTACACGGGCAGCAGTGTAAAATATTTAGTACAGTTTAAGATATATATTTAACCTATTCTACTTATTAATTAAACAGGGGAAAAATTATAAAAACTAAAGTGTACGTGCGCTAGATTTTTTATTCCAATGGGTAAATCTTTTCTGTCTATTTATACATGAACATGTACATGAGCTATATGTATGTTATAAAATTGCTTATTTGTTTTCTTTTATATATCGATAAAAATCTTTGAAAATTATTTTTAAGAAAGAAGTGACTAATATGGCTTTATTGTGAATAATTATCAAAGAAAAAAACGTAAGGTACATGTAAATAAAGAATATGATTATATTGTCCTTTCTGACAAAACTTAATCTTATTTCTTTAATAAAATCTGGTACTTGACGAGTTGCACATTTTATCTATGAGCAATGAATTTCGAATATGTCAGAAAGGGAAATATTAATTAGTCTGGATAAATAGTTAGCGATTATCTATCGAACGTATGTTTTTTTTTTTTTTTTTTTTTTTTTTTTTTTTACATTTGATTAAAAAGCGTCATGTTTGTAGGGTATTTTTTTTAAAATCCTCAAACTGTTAAAAATTTACTGTCAATCGCCAGCAAATCCGGAAATTAAAAAAAAAAATTTAAAAAATGGTGGAAACACCATTTAAAAGAGGGACACCGAGCATTATTTGATTGAACTTAAATGTTATTTTTACACGGCCATCAATAGGGGCAGGGGTGGGGGTGGGGGCTGGGTTGATCTCCTGGGTCCCTCTATCTAGAGCATTAGTTATGTTAACAATTTTAGGGGGAACCGAAAGTAGACAAAACAGGAAATCCCCACAAGTTGTAAATACCTTTGATCTATTTTTAGAACCAGAAAATTCTCAGTAGTGAAAATTTTCTACCGACTTCGACTCCAGTTTTTTTTTCTCGAAAATTTTCTTGCTCAAGGTAAGTTGAATTATTTTTTTCAAGTGCATGGTCAATAAGGGTGGGTGATTGTAGAGCATGGCCCGGGTAGGTTGCCTTGGTTGACCTAGTAAAGATGAGCCCGATATGCCGCTCATTATGTTATTAAAAATTCAAACATCAAATTATGGTCGTTAAAAGGTTATAACCACTTCAGCAAATAAGGAAATGTGTCGTAATTTTGTTTATATACCGAAACCTGGTAAAATTTATACGAGTTTCATTCACGTTTCAACTATGATACAGATATATATGGGTGTATTTATTGATTTTTTAACTACTTAAATGTATATAATGTGTTTCTTGTCGGTAGGTATACAAGGTAGGTGCGATATTTCGTATTGTATATATGCCTGGGATTATCCATCTCTTCCCCAGAAAATAACTTGTATCATTTTTCTTTCGAGGTGTTAAAAATGTATTGTATAGCATAACATATTTCAAATGACATAATATGCTCAGTTAATCGATTAAAAATTATACGTATAATTATTTCCTTCCTTTCATTTAAATTTAATGATTGTAATATTACAATGAACAATTCATCCTGTATCGAGAAGAATGAAATTGTTATATACTTTATGAAAGGAAAGTGTTTTTTGTTATTCGTTTATAATTGGGAAAAATACCACAAGGGATCAAGGAAACAAACAAAAAAGGGAGAAATAATTTTTTTTTTTTAAATTATAATTTTTGAAAACCGATAAATCCGACTATTTTTTGTAATTCTTGAAGAAATATGACACTTTCATATTAAATTTTCTCATTTTAATTTTCTTTTTATTTGTAATATTCTTATACGTTTAATATACATGTAATCTGAATGAAATCCCTTGATGCGCTCACATATAGGGCAAGTATAGATCGCTACACATTGGAGGGGATCTTTGATAAGTCATTCTATTGATGATACAGGTGTGGTGTCTTTGTGTAAGCAGAATTAATGGTTTGATGAAGCGATTGAACATGAACTCTTTACTTACTGTTGTTTATATACATGTAGATGAAATCGGAGAGAGGAGGACAATGAAATTATTTGATAATGAAAAAGAAATTATAAATAATTTGAAAAAATTGGATTATCAGAGGTTCAATTCAATTTAGAATCACTAACGCCTATTTTTCTTTATAAACGTTAAGTAATTTATATTTTACTTAAAACTTTTCAAAAATAAATGCTCATTATAATGTGAAAATATGCAGAGATAAAGGTAAATTTTCATAATCCGTTTTTTTTTTTATTTTTGAGAAAACATTTATTTTTAATCTTCAAAATATTTTTGATTATTTTTGTTATTCTTTATTAACAAAAATATTACAGATACCTGCTTTTGGGAACGTCACAATAAAAACGTCATCATCTCTGACGTCAAAATCTTTGACCGCATCTAGAACATCCGGTGGCGAAAAACCGAAAAATAAACGTCCTTTGTAGACGTGTTGTCCCGGTAAAACGTGCTTATGTCTCTCCATTTTCCCTCAGATTCTGAGATGACAAGAAAAAAACCTAGGTCCCAACTTAACCGTTAATGGAAGTCGTTCCAGAATTGTTTATGTTCGGCGGTCGAAGAATTTCTCAATAAGTCTATCACTGGGCATTACCAATGATTACGGTCGGAAAAGCTTAATTCTTTCAGCCATTGCATATTGGCTCAGAAATAGACCTCTTATTGCAAGTTCAAAGCGTTTTATTGAGTTCAAAGCGTTTCTCTCTAAGCTTGTCCCGATGTTATTGCAGTATATTCCCGTTTTCTGCTCAGTGGTAATGAAAACATCTATAGACCTTATATAATGGTTTTTAGTAATGGATATTTCAGCAAACATATTAGGCTTTTCAGAGTAAATCTCATTTAGTAATATGTCTCTCAAATAACTCTAGCAGTATATGAAACTAACATGTGAAATGCATTTACGTTCTCGTTTTCAATAACATTGATTTCTAGAAATGATATATACAGTGAAACCTGTGTAATCCGACATGCACAGGCAGACCCTTATATGTCGGAATAAACAGGATGTCGGTGTACAGAGTGTACAACATGGAGCATACTAAAATAGGAATGAAAATTTGTGGTGAAATAGAAAAACTGTAGGAAACAAATTAGTTTTTTTAGTAAAACTACATCTATTATAAATTGTAGATTTTTTATTACGCTGTTGAATAATCGGAATCTTTTTTTAATTTAAAAGCAATTAAAAAGAGGAAAAAATTAAAACATTTTTTTGTTCATTACATGTACATATGCAGAGTGTATGTAGAATCCGTGTAACAATGTAATCCTCTGTTGTTTGCAGGGTTGATTGGTTAAATTCATTCAAAAGTTATCAATAATATTTGCGAAGTCATGAATTATAGATTGAAGAAACCGTCGATGATTTAATATTTTTTCCTTTTTTCAGGGATTCGAATCCCACAATGGCAGAAGCACGACCTCCTGGTGATTATTCCGATGACGAAGAATGTGATTGGATGAAAGCCATACATGACAGTGACGTCACTATCTTTTACAATGAAGAGGATGAATATAGAATTTTTAAAACCATTTTAGACAACTTTGATCGAGAAAATATAAAATACATTTGTCCCGGTTTTTGCACTGAACCCGGAGCACATAAGTACAAAAACACTGCAAAGGCAATTCAGAAAAGTCGAAAAACACTTCTAATTTTGTCAGAGAGTGCCAAGGAAGTTGATTTTTCTCTAGAGACTTATCTAGCTTTAGAACAATGTCTTCAAACTGGTCGTTTGTCTCTTATGGTGCTACTAATTGACGGAATGACTGTCCAAGACCTACCAAAAATTCCCTTCCTTCAACAAGCGACTCAGATGGTTTTAGTGGACAATTATCATGAACGTTGCATGGAAACAGTGTGTCGGACTCTAAAAAGTACGGAATTGTGATTTTTGAGAATTTCATTTTGTCGGTTTCAACTTTAGAATTGATTTCTTGAATTGCATGCTGTTGCTTGCCACTGGATATCATAACACGTTTCTCTATACGTTATACAGGAGAGGTACAACTAAATCAGCTTTTACCAGCTGGAAACTTTGCTGTGGGAATGGCTTGGTCACATTTTGCTGGGTATTTGAAGTTAATTTTACCAGGTATCAAGACTATGTAGCGAAAATATTTTCATATATGTCCTTCATCGACTACACAATCTTACTTGAGAAAAATTTCTAAACCAGATTGCAAAAATTTATTTAAAATTTCTGTGACGCGGTGTCCATAAATTACATGTTCATTTGTACTAAACATACAATCACTTTGTGATACTGGTGTGATTGATATTTAGATAATAGAGTTAGGGATGGTCACTTTTCCATGGCACCTGATCCCAACTCTGATTGTTTAGAAGTCCGTGATTGCTCTGCTCAAATTTGTTTTGTTTAGAGGACTTTTGAGCTTGAATGCTGTTCACATATTTCCTCCATTTAATCCTATTATGTCAGAGACTTCAGAGAACATTTCATATATTCAGAACCTAAATAAGCATACTTTTTTAAATTAACACATTTAATTCATTATACACCTGAACGAAAGGAATATTATTTTATTAGATCTAGCGCAACAGATAAAGAAGTCTGATATTTTTCAAAACAACCTCGGCAGGATGTCGACTGTATTTTTTATGTTGTGCCCTACAAGTGCAACAGGACCACGGGACATTGCCGACGTAGATCCAAACGTTCAAAATGTAGGGAAAGTTGACTTGGTAATAAACGGCCGACCATTTAATCCTACCATATATAAAGTTAAAGGGAGGAACAAAGAAGGCAAGGAGGAGGTAAGAGAAGCTTTCAACTTACAGAAATTTTATACATTTTTGTTTTTTCAAAAGCAATTGTTCTATTTTAACCAAATCTACATGTATTGGTATTTTGATGGGAGAACACAAATGGGGTAAAAATTCTTCATGTGAAAAATGAAAGAATCTTTAGAAGGATACTATGGATAAGATATCTCGGTGTGTGAGGGGCTCTTGTGTTATGATCATAATAAAGACATATAAACAAAGATACTGTAAATCATTTTTTATTCGCGAGAACTTTATTTTCGCGTAATTACGCGAGACAGTGTGCTCGCGAAAATTTAATTCTCGCGTATAATAGTATTCCTTAAGATTATATAGAGCAATAACCACAATTCGTGAAAATTTTGTCTCGCTAATCAAGAGTTAATGTCTATCTCGCGAAAATATAGTGTCGCGAAAAATTAGTGATCTACAGTAATCAAAGATTACGAAGCTCACCTTGACAAAGGCTATCTTATAAGCAAAATATTTTTTTTTTCAAGTTAGACTTTGAACCTGTTTACTAGTCGAGAAAACTTTGGTCAGTTCCAACTTCTAAAGCCAGTCAGGATATTTTTATCCTTCGATGCACTATCTATACTGCAAGTTTAATCATAACATGCCATAATATTATATAACTACTCCAAAACCATACCCCTGGTCAGATTCAGAATAAAAAGCAATTCTGGAAGAGTAAATTTCTAGATACATCATTTTTGCTAATAATTGGTTAAAAAATGGCTAAAATCACTCATGTGAAAAATCTACATCAGATCCAGCATCCAAATCCAAAAACATCTCCTGTCTCTCTTTTGGAAAATTTAGGTTAAATACAACATTTAAAGCAAGTGCGGTAGTGCCCATCCCTAGACGTATCATCCTTGCAAGTCTGGTTCAGGTAGAGATTATAGTTACTTGGGAATGGACCTGCTCCCAAAACTTTAACCGGGACGTCGAGACTAACGCGACGCCGAGGCTGGAGTATAGCATAAGCCCATCTCGACTTTGTCGAGGTGAACTTAAAAAAAATCAAAACATTTGGTACTTTTTTGAAATAACATGTATGAATTTCTTCTAGGAGTACTTTTGCTGTGCGGAGTATCCAAGTGCTCTGTGTGCTCTTGGGCTCATTGCTGACGAAGTACTCAATCTATTGACTCCTCAACAGCGCAGGACGGAAGTAGAAAGGTTCAAATATAAGATTGAGGAAATTCTGAACCATAGTCGAAACGAGGAATGTATGGGAAGAGCAAGAGTCCTTATGTTTGATGGTTTGTTTAACAGATTGTCTTACCTTTAAACTTAGAAATATTGTATGTAAAATTTTGAATGAGGACCAAATATTTTTTTTTCGATTCGATAAATCATAAACTTCATGATTTTGCTCTACGTGGTTTTGTTTTCATTAAATTCTTTTCAATGAAAATACATTATGTTTAGCAAATTTGTATTTAATAACTGAATTTTGTGATAATTTCGTGTTTCCGTTTTGTTATTTCTGTTTTGAATTCCAATTTTTAGACTTATTTTTTCTTCTTTTTACCATTTTAGATGAAGGAAAGGGAGAGAGAAATACCCCTTCTTATAATTTGTTCAACGGTGTTAGAGACGCGATAGAAGAGACCATGATGAAACCTCTGGTATTCAGATTTTTTTTTCATTAAAAAATAATTTGATTTTAGTTGTAACACCTCATTTGATTGGATAAAAGATGTACTTTATAGTGAATTACATACATGTAAGTTGCATACGTCACAATGAGTTACGTCAAAAACGTATTTTTAAAATAAATTATCCTCAATTTGAAACCTTTTTTGCAAGTAAAAATGTCTTATTGTGTACATTAAGTTATAAGGAATGAAGCTTATTTAACCTATGTTATAAATACAATATAAAATTATAACTTGTTGAAGTTTACGCTTTTTTGTAAACTGCTTCGCGTATATATACGGTATATCATACCGTATACCATAGGGTAAAATAAGATTCAAAGAACTACAATCTATTCAATGTATTGTAGAGTAAGATATATAATAGCAGAATAATTATAATTTTAGAGTGACAGACAACCAAGTCATGTGACCCGTTCTCAATCGAATTGTTCAGTAGATGTGTGCTTTTTGTACAGTGATATTGACGCCATGGAAAACCGAACCTCGGTTCATAGTAGCCCGGATAACAAAACTATAAAGCACATTCGGATGTTTTTGGAAAATAAGAAAATTCGATGCTCTATCGCACGACCACCCGTTGACTCTATGGGTAAGATATTATCAAAGCATTAAAAATGTTTGTTGATAAAAAAGACTATTATTAAAAGATATTTTCCTAAAACCTTTCATTTTTTCCCCAAATTATTTTGAATACATGTAGTAAAGTTTTACATTTTTAAAAAAAATAAATGACATGTATAATGTTTTTATTGTAGGAGTAATAGAAGAACGAATAAATGATGCAAGATGGGTTTGTTGTTTGGTATCGGTCAATACAGTCAGAAGAAAAGACTTTATCGAATTTTGGTTGGCAGCGTTACTGAACGATTGTATCGAAAAAAATCAGTTGAAAATCATCATTTTACTCAAAGACCTTGATAGTTCATTTATCCCTAACTTTATTCAATGGGTGACTTATATAGACATTTCTAACGAACCTTCTTTTGAAGAAAGGATTTATGAGATCATCAAAGGTATTTTTTATCTTCTAGTAATTAAACTCATTTCTGAACTTTTTTCCTTGTTCAGTGCAACTTGTACCCATAATGTGACTTTTTAAGAAGAAAATACACTTTATGTCACAATCTTCAGTAATGCCCCTCGTGTATTCATTCACATAGCTGAAAAAGTCAAAATAATATCATTTTTGTCTGTGAAGGTGATGTTGTAACCTTAAGGTCGCAGGTCCCGGCTGGTAACGTGGCGTTTGGATTGGCCTGGGCATTCCATGTTAACTATCTAAGACATGTTCTTCCAGGTAGGGAATCCTGATTTTCAACTTTATTACTCGAAAGATACATTGATCTGTGTTCGATTCTAGTACAGAATATATTAGAAAAAGATTGAATTGTCATTTATTTATTATATAGGGAATCCTGATCCCGATTTTCAACTTTGTTACTTGAAAAATATTGAATACATTGATCTGTGTTCGATCCCAGCACACTATATTAGAAAAAAAAAGATTGAATTGTCATTTTATTTCTGCCAGATTTCAATGAACGACTAGAAAGTAGAATGGAACAAGACGATATTCGAAAATTTACAGCAATTAAGAAAAAATTTAAAGTTTCGAGAAGTCTTTTAGAACTGATACCTAAAAGTTGTGAATTTAAACCACTATTGACTATGGCTGACGACAGAATACAAGGTCCATTTGAGGTTAAGCCTATAGTGAAACAAATGGCTGCCACAAAACGAGTTTTCCCGTGTAAGCTTTACAGAATAGAGGTAAGTTTTCTTTCTAAGGCACTATGAATCGTCTTAGTACCATTTTTACCTCACCTGAGCCGAAGGCTCAAGTGAGCTTTTCTGATCAAAATTTGTCCGTTGTCTGTCGTTGTTGCCGTTGTCGTCGTTGTCGACGTAAAATCTGAAAGTCGACGTAATCTTTTCAGATTTTCGTCTTCTTCTCAAGAACGAGTGGGCCAGTTTTAACCAAACTTGCCACAAAGTTTCCTTGGATAAAGGGGATTCAAGATTAAGGGCCAAGTCCTCTTCCAAGGGGAGATAATTATGAATTAATGAAAAATAAATGGCATTTTAAAAAAAATCTTCTTCTCCAGAACCATTGGGCCAGGAAAGATGAATGTGGAAGCATTCTCAGGCTGTGTAGATTCAAGTTTGTACAAATCATGACCCCCCCGGGGGGGGGGGGGTAGGGGGGGCCACAATGGCTGATCAAAGTTTTACATAGGAATATATAGGAAAATTCTTTAAAAATCTTCTTCTCCAGAACCACTGGGCCTGGTAAGATGAAACTCTTGTGGAAGCATCTTCAGATAGTGTAAATTCAAGTTAGTTCAAATCATGACCCCCGGGGGTAGGCGAGGCCACAATGGCGATCAAAGTTTTACATAGGAATATATAGGAAAAATCTTTTTCCCCGAAACCATTGGAACAGGAAAGATGACACTCATGTGGAAACATCCTCAGGTAGTGTAGATTCAAGTTTGTTCCAATCATGACCCCCGAGGATAGGCTGGGGCCACACTGGCTGATCAAAGTTTTACATAGGAATACCTAGGGAAAAAAAAATTCTTCTCAAGATTAGCAAAGCTATGATTGGTGATATTAATATGGAAACTCCTCAGTTAGAGTTAATTCAAGTTTATTCATGTCATGACCCCTGGGGGCAAGGTGGGGCCATAATGGGCAATCAAATCTTTAAATAGAAATAGATAGGAAAAATCTTAAACACTTCAAGATTGGCAAAATTATACATGTATGCTTTATCGATATTGTGACATTCTCAAGTAATAAAAAATTCAAATCTCCCCACCCATAACAAGTAAACTTTTCAGTACTGAGTTGATTTGTGTTTTTTAAGTAGCCCATGTGCTCAGGTGAGCGATGTGGTCCATGGGCCTCTTGTTTAGAATAGGATCTAAGTTTTTATTGAAGAATCCCCATTTTATATATCATTTGTTGATATTTATCCTACTCTGACTTTCAATTTTTGTTGCTTCTGAATTAATTTCTCAAGTGTTATGTTAAACTAAAAGAATTCAATAAAAGTTATAGTTGTATTTATTTGACAGAGCGAAAATTGTGATTACTACTTTGCGGGCGAGATGTTGACACCAATGAAAGCACTTTCAGAAATGCACAAATCAATGATAGCAGGGTTGTCTAAGAAACAAATGTATGAACAATGTGACGCATTAGTTGAACAACTATCAGCCATCTTGGATTCAGCGGCAACTCCAGAGGAGATGCAGAAAAAATGTCGATGCATTAAATACGACGGTAAGTTTTTGTAGAACCTGCTCATCAAACGAGCTTTTGTAGGATCTTGCCGGTATTCTATCAGAACTGGAGTCAAAGCATGCCATATTTGTTTGTATGTTTTGTTCCCTTGTTGGCATGGACTTAACTATTAGCCACAATTAACCATTGGTTAATTCAAAACAGAGCTTCTTATCATCGTATATTCATCATTTGAAATTTTCAGAACAATATAATAACTTTAAAATTGAAGTAAAGGTCAAATAAAAGTTAACGTTATATTGACTACCAATTCTTTCTCTGTTTTATTTAATGGATATTCTTTTGCTAAAATAAGAAGTTGAAAAAAAAATCGAGAAAATTCGAACTTTTATAAAAATTTTTAAATCAGATACTCAGCGGAAGTTGTCTGACGTCATAATGGAGGAAATCGACAAAGAACAAAGTCGAGACCATGTGGAGATGTATGCAAGCTGGTTAAAGAAACAAGAGAAATAACACAAACAAAGTCGCCATATCTTAAAATTAAAAGCAGCATTCCTAAAACTTTTTTTTTAATTTAATGTCAATGCCATGTTGGTAATATGCACCTTTTTATAGGTACAGTGCATAAAGTGACACAAAATATTCCTACCTTTATTAAATGTATCCATAATTTAAAAGAGAAAGATGGATACATGTAGCAGTGTTCACATAGAATATTACTCATAATTCATAGATTATTATTCCCTCGCAACGGAGTTGAGGGAATATAGGAATTAATGCAGTTGTGTTTGTTTGTTTGTGGATGATCGAGTGTTTTTATTTCTGTACGAAAAAAAGTGATGTAATTTGCATTGATTTAACGATACTTCATTATGTTTTCCTTGACATAAAAATCTAAAAAAAAAAAAAAGTTGATACTGATATATGTGGTTTCCTAATGAACAATACGACACTAAAGGAGTAGCTCATTGAAACAAAATATTATTTCTAGTCTAAACAAAACATGTAAGTATCTATCACTGAATCCTGCTATCTTACGTGGGTAAAAAATGGCTGTGATATGAGCGACGTTCTTGTGTTCTTGTTCGTTATTAGATTTTTTTTCTTAAAATGTTTAAGATTTTTTAATCAGTCAGTGACAACAATAATAATTTGACATTTATTGTTTTGTTTTTAATTATATTTATAAATTAATCTGAAAAATACATACTAATCTTGGTATCTAAGAATTACATGTGAATGTTTATAATATTTTACAACTTACTTTAGTAAAATACAAAAATGTAACATTCTTTTCCCAAACAGCTCTGCATTTGATCAATAGGTATATATAATGTTAATGCAGGTATATTTCCTAATGTCATTATTGTATTGAAATACCTGTTTTTCAGTGATGAATTGGAAGTAAAAAAAATATCAAATCATTACATCTTTGCTTGTGTGTTATAAACATATGGAAATCCGAAACTGATCAGTCTTCTTACATGTGCACATTTTGTATATTATAGGTTTAACGAGTTTTAATGAACACTGGATTGAAATGCTTTTTATGGAACAATTTCAATTCTCTCAGATCAAATTTCAGACGTGCTACTACACGGTGTAGTACCTAAACGGTTGCTATCAGAAAAAATTGCGCGTTCTTTACTGCTATCTGAAAATTGAGCGGTTGCTAGTGGAAAAAAATGGACGAAATTGTAAGTATTTTTCTTCGCTGGCTCAACAAAATGGTCAATAATTCAATTATTAAAGTTTAGCCGCTTGGTATTTCACCCTTACGGAACGTTACATACATTTTGAAACTAACATGTATATTTAGAATTTTAATGAATTGAAGGATTGCTGATATATAAGACGAAAACTGTCGAAAGCGTTGGACACATTTACATGCACGTAAGAAATATATTAAAATTGCGGCAAAAGTTTTAGATATTTTATAAAAATGAATCGACAGTTCGTTGTGTATTTGTAAATATTATTGGTTATTTTATATCATTCTCCGCTTTGATGGGTTTCTGAAAAACTAGAGCGTTTTTATTAGGAGAATCTTGTGTTACGGCTACTATTAGACAACGGCACCGGTTACTATTTGAATAGGTTTAAGTTTTCAAATGTTTTCAAAGTTTTCATGAAATCACATCCTCAATTTACATAATTATGTTATGCAATTATACATGTTATAGTTCCTTAAGAAAACTAAATATTCACCGTATATTCTTTCTTAATGATTGACTTGTCGTGTATGTTACTTTCGATCATATAATGTCAAATTAATCGTATATTTATATAGAGAATAATACATACCCTTTTCCATATCACATCCTGTATCAGCCCGAGACACCAATATCAGCCAGAGGGCCGAAGGCATTGCTGTCATTGCTGACGAAGTACTCAATCTATTGACTCCTCAACAGCGCAGGACGGAAGTAGAAAGGTTCAAATATAAGATTGAGGAAATTCTGAACCATAGTCGAAACGAGGAATGTATGGGAAGAGCAAGAGTCCTTATGTTTGATGGTTTGTTTAACAGATTGTCTTACCTTTAAACTTAGAAATATTGTATGTAAAATTTTGAATGAGGACCAAATATTTTTTTTTCGATTCGATAAATCATAAACTTCATGATTTTGCTCTACGTGGTTTTGTTTTCATTAAATTCTTTTGAAGGAAAATACATTATGTTTAGCAAATTTGTATTTAATGACTAAATTTTGAGATAGTTTCTTGTTTCCGTTTTGTTATTTCTGTCTTGGTTTCCAATTTTAAGACTTATTTTTCTTCTTTTTACCATTTTAGATGAAGGAAAGGGAGAGAGAAATACCCCTTCTTATAATTTGTTCAATGGTGTTAGAAACGCGATAGAAGAGACTATGATGAAACCTCTGGTACTCATATTTTTTTTCATTAAAAAATAATTTGAGTTTAGTTGTAACACCTCATTTGATTGGATAAAAGATGTAGTTTATAGTGAATTACATACATGTAAGTTGCATACGTCACAATGAGTTACGTCAAAAACGTATTTTTAAAATAAATTATCCTCAATTTGAAACCTTTTTTGCAAGTAAAAATGTCTTATTGTGTACATTAAGTTATAAGGAATGAAGCTTATTTAACCTATGTTATAAATACAATATAAAATTATAACTTGTTGAAGTTTACGCTTTTTTGTAAACTGCTTCGCGTATATGTATCTTATACCGCTTACCATAGGGTAAAATAAGCTTCATTCCTTAAAGAACCACAATCTATTCAGTGTATTGTAGAGTAAGATATATAATAGCAGAATAATTATAATTTTAGAGTGACAGACAACCAAGTCATGTGACCCGTTCTGAATCAAATTGTTCAGTAGATGTGTGCTTCTTGTACAGTGATATTGACGCCATGGAAAACCGGACCTCGGTTCATAGTAGCCCGGATAACAAAACTATAAAGCACATTCGGATGTTTTTGGAAAATAAGAAAATTCGATGCTCTATCGCACGACCACCCGTTGACTCTATGGGTAAGATATTATCAAAGCATTAAAAATGTTTGTTGATAAAAAAGACTATTATTAAAAGATATTTTCCTAAAACCTTTCATTTTTTCCCCAAATTATTTTGAATACATGTAGTAGAGTTTTACATTAAAAAAAAAATAAATGACATGTACATGTATTTATTGTAGGAATAATAGAAGAACGAATAAAGGATGCAAGATGGGTTTGTTGTTTGGTTTCGGTCAATACAGTCAGAAGGAAAGACTTTATCGAATTTTGGTTGGCAGCTTTACTGAACGATTGTATCGAAAAAAATCAATTGAAAATCATCATTTTACTAAAAGACCTTGATAGTTCATTTATCCCTAACTTTATCCAATGGGTGACATATATAGACATTTCTAACGAACCCTCATTTGAAGAAAGGATTTATGAGATCATCAAAGGTATTTTTTAATCTTCTAGTAATTAAACTTATTTCTGAACTTTTTTCCTTGTTCAGTGCAACTTGTACCCATAATGTGACTTTTTAAGAAGAAAATACACTTTATGTCACAATCTTCAGTAATGCCCCTCGTGTATTCATTCACATAGCTGAAAAAGTCAAAATAATATCATTTTTGTCTGTGAAGGTGATGTTGTAACCTTAAGGTCGCAGGTCCCGGCTGGTAACGTGGCGTTTGGATTGGCCTGGGCATTCCATGTTAACTATCTAAGACATGTTCTTCCAGGTAGGGAATCCTGATTTTCAACTTTATTACTCGAAAGATACATTGATCTGTGTTCGATTCTAGTACAGAATATATTAGAAAAAGATTGAATTGTCATTTATTTATTATATAGGGAATCCTGATCCCGATTTTCAACTTTGTTACTTGAAAAATATTGAATACATTGATCTGTGTTCGATCCCAGCACACTATATTAGAAAAAAAAAGATTGAATTGTCATTTTATTTCTGCCAGATTTCAATGAACGACTAGAAAGTAGAATGGAACAAGACGATATTCGAAAATTTACAGCAATTAAGAAAAAATTTAAAGTTTCGAGAAGTCTCTTAGAACTTATACCGAAAAGTTGTGAATTTAAACCACTATTGACTATGGCTGACGACAGAATACAAGGTCCATTTGAGGTTAAACCCATAGTGAAGCAAATGGCTGCCACAAAACGAGTTTTCCCGTGTAAGCTTTACAGAATAGAGGTAAGTTTTCTTACTAAGGTACTATGAATCGTCTTAGTACCATTTTTACCTCACCTGAGCCGAAGGCTCAAGTGAGCTTTTCTGATCAAAATTTGTCCGTTGTCTGTCGTTGTTGCCGTTGTCGTCGTTGTCGACGTAAAATCTGAAAGTCGACGTAATCTTTTCAGATTTTCGTCTTCTTCTCAAGAACGAGTGGGCCAGTTTTAACCAAACTTGCCACAAAGTTTCCTTGGATAAAGGGGATTCAAGATTAAGGGCCAAGTCCTCTTCCAAGGGGAGATAATTATGAATTAATGAAAAATAAATGGCATTTTAAAAAAAATCTTCTTCTCCAGAACCATTGGGCCAGGAAAGATGAATGTGGAAGCATTCTCAGGCTGTGTAGATTCAAGTTTGTACAAATCATGACCCCCCCGGGGGGGGGGGGGGGTAGGGGGGGCCACAATGGCTGATCAAAGTTTTACATAGGAATATATAGGAAAATTCTTTAAAAATCTTCTTCTCCAGAACCACTGGGCCTGGTAAGATGAAACTCTTGTGGAAGCATCTTCAGATAGTGTAAATTCAAGTTAGTTCAAATCATGACCCCCGGGGGTAGGCGAGGCCACAATGGCGATCAAAGTTTTACATAGGAATATATAGGAAAAATCTTTTTCCCCGAAACCATTGGAACAGGAAAGATGACACTCATGTGGAAACATCCTCAGGTAGTGTAGATTCAAGTTTGTTCCAATCATGACCCCCGAGGATAGGCTGGGGCCACACTGGCTGATCAAAGTTTTACATAGGAATACCTAGGGAAAAAAAAATTCTTCTCAAGATTAGCAAAGCTATGATTGGTGATATTAATATGGAAACTCCTCAGTTAGAGTTAATTCAAGTTTATTCATGTCATGACCCCTGGGGGCAAGGTGGGGCCATAATGGGCAATCAAATCTTTAAATAGAAATAGATAGGAAAAATCTTAAACACTTCAAGATTGGCAAAATTATACATGTATGCTTTATCGATATTGTGACATTCTCAAGTAATAAAAAATTCAAATCTCCCCACCCATAACAAGTAAACTTTTCAGTACTGAGTTGATTTGTGTTTTTTAAGTAGCCCATGTGCTCAGGTGAGCGATGTGGTCCATGGGCCTCTTGTTTAGAATAGGATCTAAGTTTTTATTGAAGAATCCCCATTTTATATATCATTTGTTGATATTTATCCTACTCTGACTTTCAATTTTTGTTGCTTCTGAATTAATTTCTCAAGTGTTATGTTAAACTAAAAGAATTCAATAAAAGTTATAGTTGTATTTATTTGACAGAGCGAAAATTGTGATTACTACTTTGCGGGCGAGATGTTGACACCAATGAAAGCCCTTTCAGAAATGCACAAATCAATGATAGCAGGGTTGTCTAAGAAACAAATGTATGAACAGTGTGACGCGTTAGTTGAACAACTATCCGCCATCTTGGATTCAGCGGCAACTCCAGAGGAGATGCAGAAAAAATGTCGATGCATTAAATACGACGGTAAGTTTTTGTAGAACCTGCTCATCAAACGAGCTTTTGTAGGATCTTGCCGGTATTCTATCAGAACTGGAGTCAAAGCATGCCATATTTGTTTGTATGTTTTGTTCCCTTGTTGGCATGGACTTAACTATTAGCCACAATTAACCATTGGTTAATTCAAAACAGAGCTTCTTATTATCGTATAATCATTCAATTTTCAGAACAACATAATAACTTAAAATTGAAGTAAAGGTCAAATAAAAGTTAACTTTATATTGACTACCAATTCTTTCTCTGTTTTATTTAATGGATATTCTTTTGCTAAAATAAGAAGTTGAAAAAAAAAGAGAAAATTCGAACTTATATAATTTTTTTTAAATCAGATACTCAGCGGAAGTTGTCTGACGTCATAATGGAGGAAATCGACAAAGAACAAAGTCGAGACCATGTGGAGATGTATGCAAGCTGGTTAAAGAAACAAGAGAAATAACACAAACAAAGTCGCCATATCTTAAAATTAAAAGCAGCATTCCTAAAACTTTTTTTTTAATTTAATGTCAATGCCATGTTGGTAATATGCACCTTTTTATAGGTACAGTGCATAAAGTGACACAAAATATTCCTACCTTTATTAAATGTATCCATAATTTAAAAGAGAAAGATGGATACATGTAGCAGTGTTCACATAGAATATTACTCATAATTCATAGATTATTATTCCCTCGCAACGGAGTTGAGGGAATATAGGAATTAATGCAGTTGTGTTTGTTTGTTTGTGGATGATCGAGTGTTTTTATTTCTGTACGAAAAAAAGTGATGTAATTTGCATTGATTTAACGATACTTCATTATGTTTTCCATGACATAAAAATCTAAAAAAAAAAAAAAAAGTTGATACTGATATATGTGGTTTCCTAATGAACAATATGACACTAAAGGAGTAGCTCATTGAAACAAAATATTATTTCTAGTCTAAACAAAACATGTAAGTATCTATCACTGAATCCTTCTATCTTACGTGGGTAAAAAATGGCTGTGATATGAGCGACGTTCTTGTGTTCTTGTTCGTTATTAAAATTTTTTCTTAAAATGTTTAAGATTTTTTAATCAGTCAGTGACAACAATAATAATTTGACATTTATCGTTTTGTTTTTAATTATATTTATAAATTAATCTGAAAAATACATATTAATCTTGGTATCTAGGAATTACATGTGAATGTTTATAATATTTACAACTTACTTTAGTAAAATACAAAAATGTAACATTCTTTTCCCAAACGGCTCTGCATTTGATCAATAGGTATATAACATATAATGTTAATGCAGGTATATTTTCTATTGTCATTATTGTATTGAAATACCTGTTTTTCAGTGATGAATTGGAAGTAAAAAAATATCAAATCATTATACATCTTTGTTTTTTGTGTTATAAATATATGGAATTCCGAAACTGATCAGTCTTCTTACATGTGCACATTTTGTATGTATACAGTATTAAAGGTTTAACTAGTTGAACACTAGATTGAAATGCTTTTTATGGAACAATTTCAGTTCTCTCAAATCAAATTGTTCAGAAGTGCTACTACACGGTGTAGTACCTAAACGGTTGCTATCAGAAAAAATTGCGCGTTCTTTACTGCTATCTGAAAATTGAGCGGTTGCTAGTGGAAAAAAATGGACGAAATTGTAAGTATTTTTCTTCGCTGGCTCAACAAAATGGTCAATAATTCAATTATTAAAGTTTAGCCGCTTGGTATTTCACCCTTACGGAACGTTACATACATTTTGAAACTAACATGTATATTTAGAATTTTAATGAATTGAAGGATTGCTGATATATAAGACGAAAACTGTCGAAAGCGTTGGACACATTTACATGCACGTAAGAAATATATTAAAATTGCGGCAAAAGTTTTAGATATTTTATAAAAATGAATCGACAGTTCGTTGTGTATTTGTAAATATTATTGGTTATTTTATATCATTCTCCGCTTTGATGGGTTTCTGAAAAACTAGAGCGTTTTTATTAGGAGAATCTTGTGTTACGGCTACTATTAGACAACGGCACCGGTTACTATTTGAATAGGTTTAAGTTTTCAAATGTTTTCAAAGTTTTCATGAAATCACATCCTCAATTTACATAATTATGTTATGCAATTATACATGTTATAGTTCCTTAAGAAAACTAAATATTCACCGTATATTCTTTCTTAATGATTGACTTGTCGTGTATGTTACTTTCGATCATATAATGTCAAATTAATCGTATATTTATATAGAGAATAATACATACCCTTTTCCATATCACATCCTGTATCAGCCCGAGACACCAATATCAGCCAGAGGGCCGAAGGCCCGAGGGCTGATATTGGTCGAGGGCTGATACAGGATGTGATGTGGAAAAGGGTATGTTTTATTATATTTATTACATACTTAGTAATAAAATACAGTTGAGAAGAAAATAAGTAAATAATCATGCATCATCACTTCTTACATACATGTACATAGTCTAATGTCTCATAAGATTTGGGTTTGTTTCTATTTCTTTTTCAATGCACTTGATCCGTAATTTGAAAATATTCTATAGTATTACATGTATTTGTAAATTAAGATTAACCTTATTTTCAAAAAGTTAAAATTAAGAGAATATGAACCCACCAAAAATTGTGTATGAGTACAAGTACTGTTATTGTGGTTTAATTTACTTAGGATGTGATATTGACGTCACAATAGCCGTATCAGCCCTGCAGGGCTGATATGGATTTGCAGGGCTGATACAGCTTTCAGCCCCGCAAATCCATATCAGCCCTGCAGGGTTGATACGGCTATTGTGACGTCAGCCATATCGCATATGCAAAAAACCTGTATTTATTACTAAGTGTGTAATAAATGTATGTTGTAAATAGTGGAGTTTGTATGTACATGTACCCTGTACACATAGGCTTTGGAACAGGGGGAGGCTAAGCCTTCTCACTTTTTTTTGCAAAGATACAGACATAATATAGGCACTGAAAACTTGGGCTAATCTTTTTTTTATTGGACCAGGTGTAGCCCCCCCCCCCCCCCCATCTTTCAATTTGCTTTCGACGTCTATGGCACATGCACACACACAACTGTTTTGTGTTAGCCATTAAATCATGTGACCATTCAATTTATTATATTCCAGCTATGTTATTATGCCAGATTGATTAAATTTACGATTTGGAATTTTAAAAAATCATAATTATCGATTCACAAACCACGAGAGATTATTTGTCTCAAATATTTACGCAACCCACCTCTACAAATCTAAACATAAACCTACAAATTAGCCATCTCTATATCTGATTTTTAAAAAAATATGAATTGAAAAATGAATAAAGCTCACATAAAGTTATGAAACAATACATCACCGTACTTCGAAAAAAGAAATATGGAATTAGAAACATTTCACAAAGCTTATACTTTAACTTTACTAGATATTATATATGTTTTTAAGTATACATGTAGGCTACAAAAATCCCCAAAAACTCTAACTTAAGAAAGGTTTTAAAGAAATTATTGTAATTGATTGTAAATATATATTATATGCTATTTCAAATTGATTTACGGGTCACTTCGTGAAGCTTTCTTTTTATTTGTGTAGCAATCCTTTGAAGATCAGCTCTACTTTGCAAAAATACGATACATTCGAGTTACAGACGCGCCCCCTCAACATTTTGTTCCAAGCATAACCTTTACCTTCTAAAATGTTCATTGAAAGGCCTGTTGACTTTCTTCCAAGCATAACTTTTACTATACTGAAAATTTTCATTGAAGCCACCCCCCTTTTTTTTATTGCAGTATAGTCATAGAAGGGTAGGCGGTAGCGCGTGAGAAAAAATGGTACTGAAAGAAGTTTGACAATTTTCCTTTTTTTCCATGTCAGCCTTTTTAAAAATAGATTTGAATTTTTCTGCCCCCCCCCCTTTTTTTCAAAATCGAAGTTACACCCCTGAGTTAAGATGGTAAAAGTCAACTGCATACTAGTATAGACATCTTATTTCACATGCAATTTGGGATATTTAAAATGTATATTTTAGACATTTGCTGCCATAAGTTTGTTTCATATCTCTGTTAAAAAGGAAAATTTTCAAATAGCAGCCGATGCGATGTTTTCAGTTACTAACCGGTGCATTATATTCTAAGACACTGATAGCAACCGTAACTTTAAAATTTCGTGTTTTATCCAAAAATCTCTTTTAGAATACACATTTCAATTTTTCAAAATTATTTTTAAGTATTATTATAGATTGACGCATCTTCAAATACCAAAATACCCACAATCTGAATAATAGATGATTTAAAAAAGCATGAAAACTGGGTATTTATTGACTTAAGATTTGGTACAGGCTTCGGAAATTTTACTAATTCTAAATTATTAGAGGGCTATTCTGCAAATTACACATGACAACATCTATAGAAATACCTTACTTGTTCCGTACACCCGGACTTTTCAGAGACTATCTTGATTTGGGGTCATAATTTCACTGTTTTACAACTTGTTCTAAGAGTTTTCAACATTTTTATTTCTGCTAGCAGCCGTACAAATTTCGAATAGCAACATTGAACGCGGTTTTGTTCCGATAGCAGCCGTTTAGGTACTACACCGTGTACTAGTATTTTGTAATTTTCTAAAAGTTTGCAATGTACTGGACAGAAGAGAATTTAAACTTTTTTGTTCTTTTCTTGGAAAATGCTTTTAAAGCGTGTAATCAATGTCAATATTACATCCTGAAGTTGTCCACGATTTTTACTGAACTGGATTGATTTCAATTTAGGGACAATATGTTTTTCTTTTTTTTCGGGAAGGGGGGGGTCGTTTATCTATTCCCAATTATCTGAACACCTTTTAAGCATTTACCCAAGGTATACATGACATGTACTTTAACTTCCTGTTTCATTTATTGATATGAACAAAGCAGAGACTTCTGCTAGAGCTTGATTGAAAACGTGAAATCAAAGCAGAGATGGAAAAGATTCCAAAATTTATCGGTGATCAATTACTGTTAATGTTATATACTCTAAGAGTTACATGCTATGTTTTCAATAAATCAGGTACTACATCATACATGTTAACTCTCCCGATTTAGGCGGGAGTCTACCGCTTTTTCACTCCATCTCCCGCCTACCGATTTAATTCAGAAATCTACCGCTTTTCTACAAAAGCTGCGTCTAAAGTATTTTTGGTCCGCTTGGGTATCCATTTTTGAAGCCACTCTCATAAAATCTCGCTAGATATCGCGTGATTTGACTCGGAATCATACAAACGCTTTTTTTGTACATAGATTTCAAGCACGGATTTGACAACGACAACAACATAAGACTACCAGTGATTACATTGGTTACGATAAATTAATCAACATCCCTGCCATGAAAAAGGAGATACAGCTTTTAAGAATTAGATGAAAACATTTGACATCGTCTTTAAAAGCACAGAAGCTCACAACTTTATCAATAAAGTCAATAGAAATCACTCGATTGACCAAGTCATGTGGCACATCTCTACTTTCGTTTTCGATCATCGCGGGAAATCTGATTTATATAACGAAAGATACGAACTTGTTTTAGATCTAGATTAAACCATGCCATCATTTGTTTTGTTTAAAAACTGAATGAACATTCAGAATTATTGCTTCTAGGCTATTTCAGCAAAGATCACTCTTCAAAAGGCTAAGTAAAGCGGCCAATCCAAGCAAAATGATGAGCATGAAAAATATTTGAATTTGTACAATTTATGTCAAACTGAAGGTGTTTCTGTCTTCTTCTTTGCTGTTGATATTTAAGATTAATTAGTGTAGGTACCTGATTTCATTTAAGGCTTATAATATACATTTATATTACATGAAAGATATCGATAATCCAAGCGTTTAACAACACGCGCGCAATGCTACCGCTTTTGAGGTCTGAATCTCCCTCTTTTTCATCACAATAGGTTAACATGTATGACTACATGTATATTTCTATAGTTTACTATCGTGCCATTTTATCTACAATTTAAAAAAAGCGGAAGTTGCTTATCCTGTGTATTTTTTCGAGTTAACCAACGTGTACTTTTTTTTTAATTAGAGGAAGTTCCATTCAATCAAATATGTAGCATGTTTTTTTTAAACTTTGATATCCAATTAAGTGAAGTACCGATAGCTGGGGAAAAATTGCTCAAACATATGCAGTACCATCACAGATTTCGAGATGAACGGAAGTATTGATGATGAATGAAAAACATTAACAAGACAAAGTTCAATTTTTGCTGGTAGAACATTTCAAATCATTTGGTTGATATGGTAACCTGTAATCCACGCACGGGGAGGACTCTTCCCCTTATAATTTATTGCTATTGTATCATTAAAAAGTCCATCTTCCCAAGTCAAGAGTTTCTGATCCATTTATGTGGAGCGGAGCGGATCAGAAACTCTTGACTTGGGAAGATGTAAAAAGTCATAACCCTTTTTTACAGCATTTTGTCGAAAATGCTATTTCGTTAATTCATTGCTCTTGATAAAATTTTGTGGATCTTTTCACAAATTCTCTTGTCGTGTCAAGTAATGTGCTTGGTTCCAAAATTTGGCATTTTTGCGCCTGTTTTAGGACCAAATAAAAATCTCTCCCCCAAAACAATTCTTTTACATTTGTAATTCCATATCTTTATTTGTCTAAAACAATTCATATATCCTAAACACCCAATACTTAGCAAACTCATCAAACATTGACCCCTTTTTTTCTATATACAGCATTCTTAGAATTTGTACATGTATATAGTTGTCATTAAACTTGGGTTAATTTTCATCTCTTTGGCTATGAACATGTATTATTTTGACTCAGCACGCACCTGAGTAACTTTCCCTTGTGAAAAAAGGGGGACGGGTCCTTTTTAGCATGGGGTAGTTATACAGTATCCATTTCCTTTGTATATAATATAGTCACTTTAAGCGTCCCTTTTTGTTTCGTGCTTTCTTCCTTTCCTTTTCCAAACAAAGGAAATTGTAAAGTTTTTCCAGTGTATTTAGATTTCTCGTCCAAAGGAATCACACATTGTCCAAGAAAATCGTCCTTTATTAAATTGTCATTCCAAATCTAATGTGAATAAAAATTTATTGATGTAAAAGTCAAACCAAAGTGAAACACCCATTTAATGTCGTATATTATACGCTTGCCATAAACATGTACAAACTACAAAGTTAAATGAAAAAATATTAGTTATTTTAAATATCTTTTACTTCTTAAAATGTATATTCAGATAATCTAGTTGCACATTTTATGATATACGGGCAAGTTGTCTTAAAAATAAAAAGCTATGTTTTCTATTTCTATGATTTGAACTGTAGCAATATACTGTTGAATTTTTTAAATAATTTAAATGAGATGTATAATTGTTGTACAATTATTTTTTCAAATTACAAAGATAAAATTTCATAATAAGAGCATTCACATACCTCTATTTTAATGTCCCCATCTTTTTTTTGGTAAAAGGTCATTCTTTCGTTCCAGATCGGGTTCTTGGTACCCTTACATACACTGGTTTTTACTTTGTCCCCCTCACAGGACACCTCACAATACGGGTCCGGATCTGAAAACATTTTTAGAAAAATGTACGTCAAGTTATTAATATAAAGATATCTGACATTTTCTGTATATAGGAATTGATGATCTCTCTCTCTCTCTCTCTCTCTCTCTCTCTCTCTCTCTCTCTCTCTCTCTCCATCATTTTATTATTATTTTTTTTTGGTAATGAAAAAGCCACCTCAAATGAATAGATTTTTTCGCAATCTACAATTTTTTTTTGTTTTTTTTTACCCACTGACTTCTAGATTTTAGAAGTGAATTTTCTTTGAGTCAATTCTACCTAAGAGGGGTGCACTGGTGTCTATAGTGATGGCACTGTTTATCGTGATTTGTGTTGCAGCAGTCGGAGGTTTAAACAAGAACGAGCAACACTGAGGGGGCTGAGGCTCGTCATAACACAACTCCCTTAAAAATAAGAAAAATTTTGAACTAAAATAAAATTTTTCTTCACATTAATTCTTTTACTTGACAATCATCTTCGCTAGCCAAGGGTGACGACCCGCTCTTATCCTCTTGACGTAAGCTCAAGACGACTTCAATTAGGGGGCTGACATCAGCGCTAACAAAATCCAGACTCAAATGAGGAGACCCACTGTTGGACGTGGAGACCGGTCCTTCGGACGTGACCGTATAAACCGAGGTCCCGTGTCGCAGTAATGGCACGAAAAAGATCCCTCACTGCTCAATGGCCCTAAGTGCTAAACATAGGACAAAATTTTGATGCTCTCCACCTGCAAGTGGTGGCGTCTCCATATGAGTAAAAAAAATTCCGAGAGGGACGTTAAACAACATACAATCAATCAAAAGAGGAGAGGAGCGGATCGTCACTCTTGGCTAGCGAAGATGCTTAAAATTATGCATAGTGTCAATGCACATTCACTTCATTTACTCACTTGAAATCGGGGGAGGAACTGAAGTACATGCGTAAAATAAATTTCGTTTTCTGATCTGGCTGATGGGTGGTAGGGAATATCACATATCGCCCTCGCTCGAGCGTGGCGCGTTTCATAACATCTCTACAGACGCCATATCTTGAGATTTGGGCTGTCCTCATCTTATCGTGCATTCTGTACTCACGATTTAAATCAGTCTGAAATAAATATTTTTAAATCATTGTTAAAATGATAAATAAATAAAATTTTATATTTATAAAAATATTACGAGCCTAGGCTCTTTTATTTTATTGAATTTATTAATCTCTATTCCTGTAAATGCAATGTGGTAATTGATACATAAAAGAACAACTGTCAAATACGAAATTAGATTTTAACAAGATGTGTGGCCAAAGTATGGCCCTCTCCTAGGAAATACAATTGTGTAATATAAAGCCCTAGCACAACCTGTTCAAAAGTTATTGCCAAGGTACATGTTTTTAAAAGAAGGTCAAAGTCCGGGGTCAAGGTCAAGGTTGTGTGTTTCTAAAGACAGGCCTTAGTTGTCACAATGATTACATAATTATGTGAATTATGAAAGCCCTAACCCTAACCGTTCAAAAGTTTTGCCAAGGTTTATGTTTTTAAAAACTCCAAGGTCAAGGTCAAAGGGTCAAAATTGGTGGTATCCAAAGAAAGGTCTTTAAGTTTTAAAAGATCATTTTTGTATATGGTTATATGGAGCTCTTCTTTTAAAGGAGATCAATATAGTCTAAAAATGGTCACAAAGACCTTTAAAGGGTTTAGAACAAAAACAATAATAATTTTTTTAGGAAAATTTTTCATAGTCACCTCGGTAATGAAGAAGCCTATTCCATACATTTCTTTTCCTTCCTGGCCCTTAAATGCCCGTGTGTCTGCTTGTTGTAGACAGATCAAAACCTCATCTTCGTTATCATTTACGTCAAACACATACTGAAAAATACCCGGTAAACAAATTGAGATCGTACTTAGTATTCAACATTGCAACGTTGATTCCTTTATCCTAGAATATATAAAAAATTATTAGAAGTAATGTCAAATCTTGCTACCTCGAACTCAAACGGGGTAAAACTAAATCGACTTTCCGAGTATTCGGGACATCGAAGTTTTAATACAGACAGTCAGAAACAGTTCAATCCTATTTTAACATAATATCCAAATTATTGAAGATAAATTCGAAGTTTTTCAAATGTTTAGCTGTATATGCACCCATAAGACCTTGGATGATTAATTTATTAAAATACCTGTGGATTTTGAAGGCAATTTTCGTTCCCAATCGACCCTCCGCATCTACCATCCGTCCATTCCCCTTTCCCTACACCTTCGTGCCACGTCTTAGACAGAGAGAAGTACGAGGTATTGATTAGATGGCAAAGGTCTAGACTAGTAAAGTTCTTACAGAAATCCTCAAACGACATCCTGTAAATAATTCAAGATCGTTTTATTGCTTGTCTGTATGCATGTATGTGTATATGTGAAGCAACCAGAGAAGAAAACGCGATTTTCGGTGGAATTGGGTTGATAGTATCTGTCATAACACTGTATTTCAAAAGTGAAATCAGAATAAACTTTCAATACTACTCATACTTTGATGTATCTACTCAAATTTCCCCCTATATACTATATATTTTTGGATTGACATTGTATATAAGACTTTAGAAAAGGTTATTCAATTAATATATATATACCAAAATTCTCCATTATCCTCTATGGTGATTCCTAGTTCTTTTTTCTCATTATCGCTTACTTTAGCCCACTCTTCGGACCTACAAATAGCAATTCATTAAGAACAAAATGTGTTTGTGAAACACTGATGCCCCCGTATGGCAACATAGCAAAGATTAAGTTTTTCTTAAATGCAAATTTAATTAATTGGTAGCAAAAGTAGGGTATTCTCACTGGAAAACAATTGTGAAATTTGAAAGTAAGCTAATGTTAAAGTTTTTTAATAAGTACAAAAATCTCCAAGGTCAAAAGGTCAATGTAATTAGTATCAAATGAAAGGTCTTGCCACATAAAATACTTGTGTAGAGTATGAAAGCCCCAGCCCTAACCGTTCAGAAGTTATGGTCAACGTTCAATTTCTTAAAAAGTAGGCCAAACTCCAAGGTCAAGGTCAAAGGGTCAAAGTTATTGTTATCAAATGAAAGGTCATGTCATAAGGATCAAATATGTAAAGTATGAAAGCACTAGCCCTAACTCTTTAAAAGTTATGGTCAAGGTTTGCCGTTTTAAAGGAGGTCAATCACAAAGGTCAAGGTCAAAGGGTTAAAGTAAGTTAAAGTTATGTTAAAGGTATTCAATGATAGGTCTTCTCACAAGGACTACATATATGAAGTATGAAAGCCCTATACCTTACCGTTCAAAAGTTATGGCCAAGGTTAAAGTTTTTTCACAAGAAGGGAAATCAACAAGGTCAAGGTCAAAGCATCAAGGTTGTTGGTACAGTGGCTGGAACGTTATTGTTGACAACTTACACGAACGATCACGTTACACGAACGATTCCGCACGATTAACGCACGATTAAACCTGTTACACGAACGATCTTTCACGTTCACGATTCTACACGTTACACGATCTTACACGATTGTTAACGCAAACGCACGATTCTTCACTCAAAATAGTTCAAAATATTTAGGAATCGATATTTTCAAAATGAAATAGGGCTTATTACTTATTTAAGATTTCAAAGAATTATAAATATTATTTCATACACTTTGAAGAAAAAAAACGGAAAATGATATTTCTGTAACTAAATATATGCAAGACTTAATATTTTAGATTAAAAATAATTATTTCTAAGGTAATTCTCCGATTAAAAAAAACGGATTTTGTTCGTTCTATTAGACGATGTACATGTATGTGGGTCGTATAATTTGATTGAATTGGATATCATGATATGCAGAAAGGGGGATGGAATTGAACAAAATGACTTAAATCATAATTAAAAATCTTATCCTTATGTTTCCAATGATTCAATGTCTGATAAACTTGCCAATTATTCAACTTTTTTATTTGCAGAAATTTAAAATTAATTAATTACAAATAGGCTCAAGAGATAAACACAGATAATCAAAACTCCCGAAAATCATGCCGTGTCCATGTATAATTGTCGACTAACTAGTTATGTAAGCACTGAGAAATGTTTATTTCTTTTAAAAAAATGTATTTATTTTCAATGAATTGATTTCAAGATTATTTTGACCACAATAAGAAATAAATAATAATTAAAATCAGATTTTTCAAAAAGGCGTTAAAGATCTAAGTAGGGTTTATCACAATGTGATCGCGCTATTTGACGAGAACTTAATATTGTACGACTTACTATATTGCTTGTTTACGGGCGATAATTAGTTCGTTCTGCATTCTATTATGTAAATTGCGCTTTTTCATTTTATTTGGATTTTAATCAATAAATTAAGAAAAACAAACAAGGGAAATGCTTATTTTACAAATAACATTCCGATAAAAACTTACAAAACGAAATTTACACGATTCTAAACGCACGATCTCGCACGATTAAAAACGCACACGATTGAGTCTGATACGCGAACGATCTTGCACGTTACACGAACGATCACTCGCGATACACGAACGATTCTACACGATTGGTTTGTCAACAATAACGTTCCAGCCACTGTATCCATTGAAAGGTCTTTTAACAAACATAACATATGTGAAGTATAAATGTCCTGGTGTCTACTGTTCAAAAGATATGGCCAAAGTTAAATTTTAAAATTTTCATGTAAAAGTGGGTCAAACTCCAAGTCAAGGTCAAAAGGTCAAATTTGGTGGTATTCAAGGAAAGGTCTTGTCACAAAGAATACACATATGACTTATGAAAGTCATAGCTCTACTAAATCAAAAGTTATGGGCAAGGTTAACTATAAAACTATATAGCCCCGAAACTTCGTTTACGGGGGCATAAAAACTAACCACATTTAAAACTAGTGCTAATTGTAACGGGGACCGTTACAGATGTTCCCCAAACGCTCCCCAACTCCCTTTTGGTGCCATATTCCCTGTAAGCTTCATTAAATAAGACAACCTCTATGCATCTGAGATTTTAACAACATTAACAAAGAAGTGTACAAAAATCATTTAAACTTTAGCATTGCACGCGTGCGCATGTGAATGCATGTGCGTAATGACCATATCATCTTGTCTATACAATCTATATATTTTAATATACTAAATATTAAAGTATTTAATCCAAAGTATTAAAAAGATACGCTCATTCAAGTGTTTTTTTTATTTTGCTCATTTCACGTGCACGCACATGCACACATGAGCATGGTGACCATACCTTCTTGTAGATGTCCGTTACATTTATCTATGTTCTAAATCCCACCCCATTTTGTTGAAAACCAAGGGAGTTATAGCTGTTTAAAGTTTCAGCCAGTCAGATTGCAGCGCATGTACATGCACGTGTATGCATGTGCATGGTGATCATATTTTCTTGTAGTAGTCCAGTATATCTATCTATGTTCCAAATCCCATCCTGTTTGGTTGAAAATCAAGGGAGTTATAGCTATTTAAAATTTAAGCCAATCAGATTGCAGCACACGTGCATGCACGTGTTTTCATGATAATTGCTATAGATCATGTTGTAGGATATCCTAATGCATGGCTATTTTCAAAAAAACAAGAAAGATATTGAGACTTTAGTTTCAGCCAATCAGAGCAAAGCGCACGTGCATGCACGTGAGATCTTGCTATTTTGACCATGTCATATTGTCTATGCTACTAATATATCCTTAGATTATAAGTTTCAAAGCATTTCATCAAAAATTTAAAAAGTTACGCCTATATCAATTAAATCGGTCATTACACATGTTGCACGTGCACGCTCTTGCAAGCACGTGCGCGCAAAATGACCTTCGTTCCGCAAATCTACATAACATGTCTACTGACCCTATAAACATTTCACCTTAGTCGGATGTATAGTTTACGAGATCATTCCCGGACAAAAAAGTACCCAGGAAGAAGAAGAAGAAAAATAATAATAACTAGTGCTAATTGTAACGGGGACCGTTACAGATGTTCCCCAAACGCTCCCCAACTCCCTTTTGGTGCCATATTCCCTATAAGCTTCATTAAATAAGACAAACTCTATGCATTTGAGACTTTAACAACGTTTACCCAGAAGTGTACCAATTTCATTCAAATTTTAGCATTGCACGCGTGCGCATGTGAATGCACGTGCGTAATGACCATATAATCTTGTCTTCACAATCTATAGATTTTAATATACTAAATATCTAAGTATTTAATCCAAAAGTATTAAAAAATACGCTAATTCAAGTGTATTTTTTATTTTACTCATTTCACGTGCACGCACGTGCTCACATGAGCATGGCGACATACTTTCTTGTAGAAGTCCATTACATCTATCTATGTTCTAAATCCCACCCCGTTTGGTTGAAAACCAAGGGAGTTATAGCTGTTCAAAGTTTCAGCCAATCAGATTGCAGCGCACGTACATGCACGTGTATGCATGTGCATGGTGACCATGTCTTCTTGTAGAAGTCCATTATATCTATCCATGTTCCAAATCCCATCCTGTTTGGTTGAAAACCAAGGGAGTTATAGCTGTTTAAAGCATAAGTCAATCAGATTGCAGCGCACGTGCATACACGCGTTTTCATGATAATTGCTATATATCTTATTGTAGGATACCATAATACATGCCTATATTTAAAATTTCAAAGGATTTCGTCAAAAAACAAGAAAGATATTGAGACTTTGGTTTCAGCCAATCAGAGCGAAGCGCACGTGCATGCGCGTGAGATCTTGCTTTTTTGACCATGTCATATTGTCTATGCTTCTAATATATACTTCTAATATGAGTTTTAAAGACGTACAACACACTGGGGGAGATAACTCTTGCGATTTCAATTGAACGTTTGACGTGACGTCAAATTTAACGTCAAAAATAAAGTGTCAAAACGACGAGTAAAACGATCCCGATGTATATCAATCATGAAAGAAAATTGGGATATGGGGCCGGGCTTGGCTTTGATTGCGCGTACCATATTCAATCAATAAGTATTTTTTAATTAACCCGATTAAACTCCGTAAAAAGCAAGACATAAAATACCATCCCTTAATGTTTATTTAATTTCATTTCATATACAATAAATTGTATTTTTGATCAAAGCGCAGCATTTTTTTTTATTCTGAAAATTTTATTTTACATTGCCGAAATTCTCATTATGTACAGTTGGCTATATACATGTAACATTAATGGTCTTCATTACAATTTGTGCATTTACGATATAAATATTGTTTTTTTTTCTTTAATTGAATAAAATAACAATAAATAAACAAAAAAAACTTTTTACAATGTAAAATCGATGTAGACCCTTACTGATCAAAGAGGAACAACTCTGAAAATGTAGGAGATGTTTATTTTCCTCCCTTTATTCACGGTTTTCCACAGAATCAGATACATTTACAGCTAGACCTGATAAATCCGAGAATTGAATACTATAGACCTCATATACACAATGTGAGTATAGAATTGAAAAGAATTGTTCACTTGTACTGAAATTATCTGCATTGATGAATATCCTATTGCAGCAAATCGTTTGACTTTCTGTCAACAATGTCGGTTCGCATTTCCTCGAATCAAAACAAAAGGTAGCCTATATTAAAAAATATCAAAGTGCGATTTGATATAAATTGAAATAGATGAAGAGTTTAATGTTTGATATTTTGAAGTTAATGTGGACGAATACGGAATTTTCATACTAACTTTA